CCACACGCAGCGCTCTCTGCTCCCCCCACCCCAAGCTTAATAAGCTAAGTACCCCGCCCTGTCTCTCTCCTCCCAACCCCCTCATACTTGTGTTGGCTTTCATGTCTCGCTTGCATCATACATCAAACTCCCTGATTTACTGCCGTTTGTCACGCTCAAGAGACCTCCCTCCCCCAAGGTAGCAAGGTAGCAGGTACGTGCTCAGGTATTTGGTTTAGTGTGGTTCAGCTGGTATGAGGTCTCTTGGGTGTGCCACTGCAGCACTCGATTCATGCACACATAATTCTTGTGATTTCCTTCTTGCTTCCTTCTCGCTTCAATCACTCGTTTTTGCTTCTTTCCTCATTGCCCTCCCCACTCCTCCTCTGCTCCCCAATCACACCCCTGCCCTCCCCACAGGTTCACTCCGCATGCAGCAGAGGAGGGAGCGGGGTTGCTATGTGTGTGCATAGCGGTTGTGCCTTGTGGGAGGCTTTCTCAGCTGCGGAAAGGCAGTAGAGAAGGGAGAGGAGAAGGGGAGAGGAGTGAGGGATGAGGCAACAGCTTTGTTGGCGGCTCTTCATCTGCCAGTTAAGTCACTCCTCCTCATATTTGTCCCTCACCTTTGCTTGCTGCGCATCGTTCATACTCCTTGCTTTCTCATTGCTCCTGAAACTTTCGCCACTGGTTGGGGCCAGCCTCACAAGCCACAGACTCTCCCCTGACTTCAGGAAAGCTCTCCCGCTCAGGTTCAGGTTTGCCTACAGGCCCCTCAGGTTCAGGTTCAGGTTCAGGTTCAGGTTACCTCCTTAGGTCCCCTTGCAGTCTGTCCCTTGTGCTCCTGCCCCCTCCAGTGGCCATTTCCCTCTCTCGCCCTGCCTGTGTGACTCGCTCTTGTCAACACTGCTGGATGTCTATAACTGCCCACTGACCAGCTCTGCTTTAGTTTGTTTTCTTGGCAACTCACTTACTCGTACTTCCCCCCTTTCTTCCCTCCTTACAAGATCGTGCAAGGGAGTAATCTGGTGGTGCTTAAGCTTCAGCTGCTCTCTGATTGCTCTCACACAATCAGCTAAGTGTCCCTTCCTCCATGCCCTCATCATTGCTGCTGCCGTTTCGTTTTCGCATCTGCTTTCGCACCCTTCCTCTGAAAACAGTGCCACTGGTTAGGTCCGCCTCACATGCCACAGACCCCCCAACTCCAGGTAACCCCTCAGGTGTAGATCAGGTGCTGGTAACCCTTTCAGGTGCAGGTACCCTCTCAGGTTCACCCCTTGGGGTCTGTGCTTTGTGGCTTGGCCTCCACCAGTGGCCCCTCCCTGCTCTCGCCTTGCAAACTCTCTTCTCGCTCTTGCACTCTCACCCTTCCTCCCCTCGCTGCCCACTGACCAGCTCTGCGTGTGTGCCTTGCAGGTGGAGGGGAGGGGCGGGGGTCAACACCGACGCTCCCTCACGCCCCTCCCCTGTGGCCGTGCAGGTACCTGTGGGGATGGGAGGGAGGCAGCACTGCCAGTCGCTGCCACAAGGGAGAGTATCGGGGTGGGCTTGGCCTCTCAAGGTACGTCACCTGCCCTCTTGCCCTCGTCTCTCTCTCTCTTTCTGTTCTTCAGTTTTGCCTTCTCGATTTCATCAACTTCAGTTTTGTTTTTCCTTCTCTGGTCCAGCCAACTCACTTGCTTTTACTTCCCCCCTTTCGTCTGCCTCCACCCCCCTCGCCTGTGGCCGTGCAGGTGCCTGTCTGTGGGGATGGGAAGGGGCAGCTCTGCCAGTCGCTGCCACAAGGGAGAGTATCGGGTTGGGCTTGGCCTCTCAAGGTACGCCGCCTCCCCTTTTGCCCTCAACCCTCTGTATTTCTGCTCTGTAGTTCCGCCTTCTCTTTCTCGTCAACTTCAGTTCATTGGTTTCTCTAGTCCAGCCTATTCACTTTCTTTTACTTTCCCCCTATTCTTCTGCCCCCACCCCTGCAGGCCACTGGGCATCGAGAGAAGCTGAGTAGCAGACCGGCAGCAGCAGCTGTAGCAGCAGAAGCGGCAGCAGCAGCAGCAGCAGCAGCAGTGGGGGTGGGGGGTTAGAGGCGGGCTAGGTTAGGTCGAGTCGTGAGCGAGGTGTGGTATGGTATCAGGTAAGGTATGGTAACAGGTTTGGTATGGAGATCTGATCCCCTCTTCTCTTTCTTCCTCCCCACCCCTCTTTGCAGCCTGAGTATGGAGGGAGCACTGGAGCAAGGGCGGGACAGAGGCACCTCTCTTTTCATCCTCACCTACCCCTCCCCTTCTCCCTCCCGCTGCCCCTCTCCCCACTTTCCAGCACGGTCGATGCAGCCTGAGGGAGAGAGGGAGCAAGGGCGGGACGGAGCCATCGCACTAACCCCCACCACCCCCCCCTCCTTCCTCCTCCTCCTCCCCCCCTTCCCAACACCCTGAGGCATCATGGCGCTCTGCATGGCTGTGGTAGGTAGAGGTAAGAGGCATGGGGTGAAGGGGAGAGTGGGGAGGCGGTGGGAAGCATGGGAGCAAGTGGGCAGGTCACTCTCTCAGGGGCAGCATCCTCTAGGTATGTGCCTTGCGGGTCGGGGTGTGGTGGGTGGAATCTGCGCGGCACGGCACTCGGTGCTCAAGTAACTAACCTGACGTTAAGGCTTAATGGGCACCGTCAGAGTCGACCGGCCGGCGACTCTGGTTCGCGTCAGCTCTAGCTACGTCAGGGGTGGGATTTGAGTCTTGGGCTGGAAGCAATTTTCCACTGCCACACCTCTCCCTTCAAGGCACAGCCCCTGGTGGTGCTGTTTCCGAAGGGGAGTGGGCTGTCTGCTGCTCCTACTGCTGGCAGGTAAGGTGGGGTGGGGATGGGTGGGCTGGGTGGCGATGGTGGTTATGGGGTGAGTGTGGTGAGAGGCAGTGGGGTTGGCGGTGGCATATGATGAGCCATATGGCACTGATGCCACCCTTAAGCATGGAAGCATGATGCTCATGCTTGGCTGGTTGGGGGCACATGATGAGTTGCACTGATGCCACCCTTAAGCATGGAAGCATGATGCTCATGCTTGGCTGGTTGGGGGCACATGATGAGTTGCACTGATGCCACCCTTAAGCATGGAAGCATGATGCTCATGCTTGGCTGGTTGGGGGCACATGATGAGTTGCACTGATGCCACCCTTAAGCATGGAAGCATGATGCTCATGCTTGGCTGGTTGGGGGCACATGATGAGTTGCACTGATGCCACCCTTAAGCATGGAAGCATGATGCTCATGCTTGGCTGGTTGGGGGCACATGATGAGTTGCACTGATGCCACCCTTAAGCATGGAAGCATGATGCTCATGCTTGGCTGGTTGGGGGCACATGATGAGTTGCACTGATGCCACCCTTAAGCATGGAAGCATGATGCTCATGCTTGGCTGGTTGGGGGCACATGATGAGTTGCACTGATGCCACCCTTAGCATTGAAGCATGATGCTCGTGCTTGGCTAGATAGTGGGTGGTAGATGGTGGGTGGTTGATGGGTTGGGTGGGTTATGGGGTGGGTGGGTGGGTGGTTGATGGGTTGGGTGGGTTATGGGGTGGGTGGGTGGGTGGTTGATGGGTTGGTCGTTTGGTGGGTTAGTGGGTGGGTTGGTAGATCGTTGTTCGGGGTATGTGGGCGGGTGGGTAGGCAGGTGGGTGCCTGAATGGATAGATAGGTGGGTGGCTGGGTGTGTCAGAGGTGGGTAGGCGGTTGGGTTGATGGTGGGGTGGGTGGGTTATTGGTTTGGTGGTTAAAGAGATGGGTGGCTGATGGGTAGGTGGTTGATGAAGTGGGAGGTTGGGTGGATAGTTGTGTGGGTACATGGGTAGGTGGGTCCATGTGTCGCTGGGCGGGTGGGCGATGGGTGGGTAGGTGTGTAGGTCGCTGGGTGGGTTAGTTGGTAGGTGGGTGAAGGTGGGTAGGTGGGTTAGTGGTTGGTGGGGTGTGGATCAGTGGATAGGTGGTCTGTGGTGGATGGTTGGTGGGGGTTGGGTTGGTTGAAGGTAGAATGGGATGAGGAGCAGTGGGGTAGGTAAGCAGACTGGGTTGGGTGAATGGGTGTGGCAGGGAATGGGGTAGAAACCCCCTGGGTGGTTGAATGGAAGGGAATGGGGTTGAAAACCCCCTGGGTGGTTGATTGGAAGGGAATGGGCCTGACCCGTGCCATGGAATGAGGGCAATGGCAGCGACTCTTGTTCTTCGGGTGTGCTGCTGCTGCGGACATGTGTTGTCCAGGTGGAGGTGTTTCCGCTGCTGGTGTTTCAGTGTAATGGAGGTGGTAGTGCGGGTGGCCGGGGCGAGGCAACGGGGTTGGAGAGGCGCAGCGGAGATGGAGTGTGCTTGGAGATTCTTGATTGCAGTCTCGTTTTAAAGCAACTTGCAGTTACATGCTACACTAGATGCTGCTAGTGCTCGGATGGTGTGTGCTGCAATGATAATGCACTGTGAACCAATTCTAGTATGTATAAGTAAATTCAGAAGCCTCGTTTTTATCCTGCAAAGCTTGGTACCGTGGCACCTGTTTCGTTTTTTTTTTGTGCGTAGAGGTTATTCTCTTCTAGATTATGTAGAGTGGAATAGGTCTGTATTCCGATCTGTACCCGCTTATGTGACCTCAACCGAAGAAGCTTCTACTGTCTGCATCTGGCAAAAGTTTCGGGCTAGGGAGATCAAAGCAGCTGATTGGTAGGCGAACCGCACTCTGCCCCCCTCGATTCCCCCTTCTTCCGCGAGCTTCGTGGTTTAGAGGCTAGGTGGGATCACGTGGCCCAGAAAGTCTGCTCTGTTTGGTGAACCACTGCTGACGAGGATCCACTTACCCATACATCTGCGCCACCTGTACCACGTCATTGCTCCAGTAGGATGACATTGCGATGCCAGCGCAACAATCTGGACGCGCAAAGTGCATGTACGTCGCCCAAGTCCCTGACAGGCCTCGGTTTAGGTTCTATACCCGCTATTAGCGGAAAGTGCACTCTCAGAAGTGTGCCTTTTTTTTCCCGAATCAGTGAATCTCCATGAATGTGACGATTCACTGTCTCCTGCTCGCACGAAACAAACCCACGCTGTGGTCTGCCTTCCTTCCCAGGTGGTGTTATTATTCGGAACTGCCTCGCAGCGCGCAATACTCTGATAACCGCGTCGCATTCCAAACGGCGTCTCGCTCGCCAGCACTGTCACCATTGCAACCACGGTGCAGTGCACACTGCACACACTGTCAAATAGGGAGCGGGAACTAGGCAGTTAATAGTACACACTCCTCATTGTGCTGATCGTATCCTAACCCTCGACCGTTTCGCCTCCGTCGTGAGCCTACTGCCACAGCGTTAGCTCTTTTAATCGCATCGCATCGTAGCGAGTCGCGTCGCATAGCATCGCCTGCCATGTCCGCGCGCTTGCAGGCCGTATCATCGCTCACTGCCCTGGGTGCCGCCCCTGCTGCTATCGATTCGTCGCAATCGCAGCAATTGTCGCACCACCGAATCCGGTTACGATTACGCGACTCCAGCTGGTGCCTCGGCGACAGCCAGTGGAGCCGATCCGTGCGAGGCTGTCGCGCGACAACCGTCGCACGGGGTCGCAGAGGCTGGTCGCCGTTGCGGGTCGTCGCAGGCGACGTCGGAGGGCAGTATGAGGAGAGCTTTGGCGACGTGGAGAGCGTAAGTTAGTGCTTCGTTGGTATTCGCCCTGCCTCTTCTCAACCGCCATCTCAACGGGACGAGGGAGTGAAGAATGGGCGTGCTTTTCAAGTGCCGGCCCGTATTTTCAGGCAGTCGGCTGGCAACGGCGAGGACAGTTTATGGAGTTTGATTGCGAGCGGGCTGAGAGTGGGTGAAAGCAGTTCGTGACTAGGGTGACAGCGTGATGATACGGAAGGACGAGGATGGATGAGGAAGGAGGAGGAGAGGAAGCGAACAAACATGGTCGTAAAGCGGACGTAAATTAGCAGCGTCTGCCGCTCTGTGCCGTCCCCCTACCCTTTCCTTCCCTCCTTCTCGAAGCCTTTCTCCCACCCCCACTCTCGTGTGTCACTCCCTCGCTTCCCCACCGCATCCTGTCACTCTTATCTAACTCCCGCTCACACTCTCACCCTCCCTCCATTCTCGCTCCCCCGTGCCGCCCTCGTCCCTCATCCCTTGTTCCGTCGTTCTCCCCGTGTCCGTCGCAGCGACTGGTAGACTTCTTTACGTTCAAGGCCGTGCGACACATTCTGCGAAAGGGAGCGACGGCGGGCGACGAGGAGGATCGCGAGGAGGTGGAGTGGCTGCGACGCCACGTGGAAGCCAACACGCGCCGAGACTCCAAGCTCTTCCTCAGAAACCTCGTGCAGGTGCGTATGCTGCAGGTGCTTTTAACGGGACTGCTTATAGCGAAGGGGTAAATCAGCGAAGGTACTAGTAACCACGCGATAAGTTACATCTCGTGCATGGTGCATGTGCCTTGCGCTTTAAAGCTAGAGTTCCGTACCGTGTTGCCGTTTCCAAGTCGACCATGACGTCGCGCGCGCTGCTTTCGGCCGTGCGTCGGCTATTTCTCTTCTCACGCGCGACAGACGCGGCGAAGCCGTGTGGAAGGGCAGCACGTGATGATGAGAGGCCTTTCTTTTTTTTGTAAGTGTCATTACGACTCAAAGAGCGAGTTCGTGCGGAAGGGAAGCCGCAGGGCTGGCGGAGAAATCGCTGCTCGCTCCGCCAAGGCCTCTGCGCCGGGGGTGCGCACGCGCCCTGGGATGCGCGTGCCTGCGCAAGGGACCGTGCGCGTGCCATGGGGTGTGACAGCCCTGGGCTGGGATGCGCGTTAATCGGGGTAGTATTCGCGTACGCAGAGCATGCTCTCAGTGAGTTGCGTTGCGTTGAGCTGAGCTGATTGACTATTGCCACGGGCTGGTTGCCGTCGCGCGCATACATGTAAAAGCCGCGTGGGTTCGTGCCATCCCTCTCTTTCGCTGGTCCCCTCACGCTCCCCTCTCTCCCCTCTCCACCCTTACTCCGCTTCCTTTCCTCAGAAATTCTTCTCCACGTCAAGTCCCTTCCTCCGCCTCTCCTCATCCCTCTCTCCCCACTCCGAGCTTCACCCTTTTGACACGACCCTCCCCACCACACCACCCCTGCCCTTTGCCCCCACAACCCCTGTGAGCCTTCCCCCGCTGCCCGCCATCCGTCTCCCGCTCCCCCTCCCCCTCCCCCTCCCCCTGCGTCTGCGCTGCGCAGGAGCAGCGCAACGTGGCGGAGAGAGTCATGGAGACGCGCCTGCAGCTCTTCAATAAATGGGCTCTGGTACCCTCCGCCCCTCCCCCCCCTCCCTCCTTCCCGCTCTCCTCCATTCCGCGCCGCCCCCTCTTGCCGTCTCATCCTGTCGTTTGCAAGATTATCACTCACTTCACTTGTCTCTTTCATCACCTTCTCTTTCGTTTCTTTTCTCCCTCTCCCTCTTGATACCCCTTTCCCGATTCCCGCTCACCTCCTCACCTCTAAAGCAACCACATGGCAATGATAGACAGGTTTCCATTCCGAATTCCCCATGCTCCGTGTCTCCCCAATCCCGCACACCCCCCTCCTACCTTCCCCGTCTCTGATCACCCCTTCCAAACCCCCTCACCCCCCTTCCGCCCCACCCATCTTCCTTTGTCTCCCTTCTCTCCTTTCCTACACTTTCCTCAGAGGTACGACCAGGAGGTGATGGAGGAGGAGCTGAGGCAACAGAACCTGGAGCTGCTGCTGCGGACTATGCGCTTCCCCACCGCCCCAACCGCCCCCCCCTTCCCCCTTTTGCCCGCTCTCCTCCCCTGCACTTTCCACAGAGGTACGACCAGGAGGCGATGGAGGAGGAGCTGAGGCAGCAGAACCTGGAGCTGCTGCGGGAGCGGCTGCTGCAGACCGTGCGCTTTTCCACCGACCCGACACTTGATGATGACAGTGCTGACGCACCGCCGCCCAGCAAGCAGGCATGACGGCAGGGTGAGGAGCTTGGATGGGGAGAGTGAGGCAGCCTCGGATGGAGGCAGCCTCGGATGGAGGCCAAGGGGGAAGTATGGGGTGGAGGAGGGGAGAAGAGGGGAAGAGTGTCACAGGGCCCTTTCCACAATGTCTTCCATTGTGACTGGCAAGAGGAGAGGTGTCTCTGTGTGAGAGGCTGAGAAATCTTTGCAGGGGCCGGTTTGGAGGGAGGCTCGTGATGGTGTTACAGCTGCCGAGCAAGGGTACCAGTATCTAGTGCCGTTTCAGGGACCTTGTATTTGCGCATGCCATACGGCGTACCATCAATCAGTCGACATTTCCTTTTGGTGCAGTTCAGGTGACATGACATAATTGCCTAGTGCATATTTCCTTCCTCCCAGTTGCGTCTGTTCATAGATTGATTATGTAACCTTTCAACATACGTATTGCAGAGCAAATTGTTGTTTTTCTTGGAAGGAAAATTGGTCTGTTGGGTGTAGCCTGTATAAGAATATTTGATGCATTTTGGACTCTCGAGCATTTCACGGACGGTTCGATTTGCTTGGTGCTGCTGGCCACGCCCAAACTGACCAAGCCTTTCTACGTCGCCACACCCCACAAAAAACTTTCGTGAACAACGTCGCCACTCGGCCCCACCCTCGTACCAAATCTGCACGTATCCAACTTCAACACGGATTGGCGAAACCCGTTTCCCAAAAGCCAAGAGCCGACGACAGAAGTTACCTGTAAGCTCGCCAATTCGCGAAAAATGAGTTTGGCTGCTCCTGATTTTGCAGCTGCTCCGTTGCCTCTTTGCCTTCGCTTCCTGTCAGACACACTTCAGAATGAATCTTCCTTCCCTCCAACTCTCTGCCCTGCAGCCGCCTTCTAAGCATGAGAGCGGCTCATCCTGCTAGCACGCTTCGGGAAACAAACCGCGTCGGTTGTATTAGCGGCAGCCCTTGGCCACGTCACTAGATTTTTCGAGTCACCGTGCACTTTTCTGGCCGTTGAATCAGCTTACGTGTTCCAAACTGAAGACACAGGATATGTTTCTACCGCTGACAAGAAATTTCATATCAGGTGGTCCAATCAGAAGTCAAGTCCTATCTTCCTGTCGGCGAATTGTAACGATCCACAATAGTCCACAGTGGCATGTTTGGGACCACCATCGCAGCCAGCAAGGCAAGTTTCCAACCGTTGGCAATTTCCACCACATGACGCATCCCCGCGAACCGCAATCAAACCTTCCACGCATTCTGCAGGCCAATTCTAGATACGGCTCTTCATCTCTGAGTTCTAGTGCGTTTCCGCAACCTCCGAATTTTCCAGACGAGCTTGGCTTCCGTTTGCTCTACTGAATTCGTACCATCACCACCCTCTCATGTCTAGCCTGGTTCGTTCTGTCGGATCGAAGAGCTTCATGCCTTCGTCGATCGTGGGAGTTTTTGCCACGTTAGCGAGACAACTTCGGCTGCATGTCGCCGTTTACTATGTCATGTACAGCAACCATTTCAATTTCGTTTCTTCGCTTCAACAACCTGATTCAATTAACATACGCAACGACTTCCCGTTTTGTTTTCAACGCCGATCCTGACTATTTCGCTTTCGATGCGCAGGACATCATGGTAACTTCTGAATCGTCGCGGATCAGCATTTCGTCGCGGATCAGCATTTCGTCGCGGGATCTTGTCAATGCAACGCTAGCTCCGAGGCGGCTGGAATGTCATTCATCTTCTTGAGGAGCAGCAGGTCAAGTTCTTCTCGTTTTCACGCTTGAACATTCTTTGCTTTTGAACAGTTACTAATTTTGGTATCTTTAATTTATTTGCAGGTTATATAAGAGGATCTCCCGCATCCATGAGAAGCCTTAAAAGGATCAACCTTCAGCCGCCTTCCATGCTTCATGGCGGTCAACAGGGGACCAGCTCCAGGTCTTGTGAAGGTTGAAAGTATCAACCCCCCCACGGAGCCACTCCCCCGGTTAAGGTCTGGTACAGGTGAAGGTTTGGTAAGGTCCCCTTCAGGTGTTTGGTTAAGGTACCGGCTCTGTGGGGTTGCTGTGGTAAGCAGCAGGTCAAGTTTTTTTTTTTTGTTTTTATGCTTGAACATTTTTTGCTTTTGAACAGTTACTAATTCTGGTGTCTTTATTTTTATTTGCAGGTTATATATGAGGATCTCCCGCATCCATCAGAAGCCTTAGAAGGAGCAACCACCTTCAGCCGCCTTCCATGCTTCATGGCGGTCAACAGGGGACCAGCTCCAGGTCTTGTGAAGGTTGAAAGTATCAACCCCCCCACGGAGCCACTCCCCCGGTTAAGGTCTGGTACAGGTGAAGGTTTGGTAAGGTCCCCTTCAGGTTTTTGGTCAAGGTACCGGCTCTGTGGGGTTGCTGTGGTAAGCAGCAGGTCAAGTTTTTTTCGTTTTCACGCTTGATAATTCTTTGCCTTTGAACAGTTACTGATTCTGGTGTCTTTTTTCATTTACAGGTTATATATGAGGATCTCCCGCATCCATCAGAAGCCTTAAAACGAGCAACCGCCTTCAGCTGCCTTCCATTCTTCATGGCGGTCAACAGGGGACCAGCTCCAGGTCTTGTGAAGGTTGAAAGTATCAACCCCCCCACGGAGCCACTCCCCCGGTTAAGGTCTGGTACAGGTGAAGGTTTGGTAAGGTCCCCTTCAGGTTTTTGGTTAAGGTGCCGGCTCTGTGGGGTTGCTGTGGTAAGCAGCAGGTCAAGTTTTTTTCGTTTTCACGCTTGAACATTCTTTGCTTTTGAACAGTTACTAATTCTGGTGTCTTTTTTTTATTTACAGGTTATATATGAGGATCTCCCGCATCCATCAGAAGCCTTAAAACGAGCAACCGCCTTCAGCTGCCTTCCATTCTTCATGGCGGTCAACAGGGGACCAGCTCCAGGTCTTGTGAAGGTTGAAAGTATCAACCCCCCCACGGAGCCACTCCCCCGGTTAAGGTCTGGTACAGGTGAAGGTTTGGTAAGGTCCCCTTCAGGTTTTTGGTTAAGGTGCCGGCTCTGTGGGTTTGTTGTGGTAAGCAGCAGGTCAAGATTTTTTCGTTTTCACGCTTGCGAGTCCTTTCTTCTTTCTGCATGCTTTGCTTTTGGACGCGTAATAATTCTAGTTTTATTGTTTAACTGGCAGGTTTATGTCTGAGGGTCTCCCGCATGAACCAGAAGCCTTCAGAGGAGCAACCGCCCTTCATCAGCCTTCTATGCTTCAAGGCTGGCAGCAGAGAACCGGTTCCAGGACTTGTGAAGGTTGAAAGTATCAAAACCCCCACAGAGTCAACCCCCCGGTTAAGGTCTGGTACAGGTCAAGGTTTTGGTAAGGTCCCCTTCAGGTTTTGGTTAAGGTATTGGCTCTGTGGGGATGCTGTGGTAAGCAGCAGCAGGAGTTCTCTTTTACGCTTGCAAAGTTTTTTCTGCAATACTTGCTTTTGGACATGTACTAATTCTGTTTTTTTTCTTAACTTGCAGGTTATGTCTGACGGTGTCCCCCATGCATCAGAAGCCTTCAGAGGAGCAACCGCCCTTCATCAGCCTTCTATGCTTCAAGGCGGGCAGCAGAGGACCGGCTCCAGGACTTGTGAAGGTTGAAAGTATCAAAACCCTCACAGAGCCACCCCCCTTGGTTAAGGTCTGGTACAGGTCAAGGTTTTGGTAAGGTCCCCTTCAGGTTTTTGGTTAAGGTACTGGCTCTGTGGGGATGCTGTGGTAAGCAGCACACTTTTGCAACACCATTTTTTTTTCTGCATGTTTACTTCACTGCTGATTACTAACCTTCTTTTCTTGACCTCTTTGCAGGTTTTACTCAAGGCTTTGTGCTACGCTGCAGTTGGTGTCTGGGGAGCCCTGCACAGCTTATCTCCTAGGCGGGGTGAACGTACCTGCCAACAGCACCTGGCAGGTGCCTCCGCTCTCTCCACCACCTGTAAGGCCTCTGACTCCTTTTCATTTTCAGTCTTTTACTGCATGTATTTTTCTATATAAACTTGGCTTTCTAACTTGGGTTTTTCTGTTTATACTCGGCAGGTTGCTTCACCATGGAAGCACCATGGCCTGCTGGAGCACCTCAATCCTCAACCATGTTAAGATAAGTCCCCAACATGGCCTTGTTTCTGTTTCAAGTTTTTATTCAACTCCTTATTGACTTGTTTTATTGACATGGCCTCATGGCAGGTTCTACAAGTGCCATCTGCATGCCATGGACCCCCAAGGCCTTGAGCACCGCTGCACACTCCAGCAAGCCCAAGATCCAAGACCGTGGCCTTCTGAGGTGCCTCAAGGCTCAAGACCGTGCGCTCAGCTCCACACTCCAAGCTCCTCAGCAACAGATAAGTTCCAGCCCTTGCCTTGGTCCATACTCGTGCGCATGTTTCTTGTTTCAGTAGTTATCTCCTTACTGTTTTGTCAACTTCTTTGATTCTGTAAGAGCCTGTACTAATACGTGTTTCTTGCGCTCCTGCAGGTGCATTCATTCGCTGCAAGCATGGCTGTGGGAGGTGGCTGTGGCATGTGGCCAGTGCACGAGAGGGGTTGAAGTCATGAGCATTGGGCTAAGCACTCGGCTCCGGGCCAAACCGGACTGGTTCCGTCCCCTTCCACCCCCGTCAAGTGACAACACTGTCTGGCCAGCAGTGTTGTCATTTGATGGAGGTGGGGGTGGGCAGAGCCAGTCCCTAGTACGCCTTGGGAGTAGCAATGCTTATGGCCCAGCCATCCTCTCTGCCTGTGTGGTGCACTGCCAGTCCATGCCGGGGTGAGTATGGATGGTGTGCTGCCAGTCCATACTCCACTAGCTTGCTTCTCAGAGGACATGCCTGATAGAGAGAGAACAATGGTAGGGTGTACCCTTGGATATTATGTACGGTAATGCAGATTGTACACAGTGTAAGGATAAATCTCTAGGCATAAAGTAGAATGTCTTGCAACCTGAAGATTGAATGGACGTCTGTTCTAAAGGAATATTTATTCTGGAAAAATTGCTCACATGTGCTATGGTTTCTGGAAGAACCTGTCTGGAAAAGTACAAACACAGCTGGTAGGACAGTGAAGAAGAGTTCAGTTTTTCGTGGTCGTACCATTTTCTCTGGAAATGATTCTTGCACCTACCAGCACGTCAAGTCAACCCCGTCACTGGGCAAAATTTCTTGCCCACAAGGGGAGTCAGAGACTATACAGGAGGTGCTATACCTTGGAATATGTGGAAACAGCTCCCGTTTCTGAAACCGGAGCATATTGGTGCAGGATTTTAAACCGGATCTGCAAATGGATCATGGACCATGGCACAGACAATTTGCAAATATGACATGCACACCTGTTACCATTCTCTCAATGCCTGTGACTACACTACCAACAACCACCTCAAACATGGAGTGAATACATCGCCAGCAACACTCTACAAGCAGAGCAACTCTTGACCGCCATACACATGTTACAGACCAAAAGAGCCAGTAATCATGTGGCATTATAACGAGGCATGGTTATGATGAGCATCAACGGTCAGCACCAGCGTCCATCCCTGCATCACTGCCCTCCTCCGCCCCCTCTGCTGGCTGCCCTGCCATGCTCTTAAGCGCTGCAAAGGCTTGCTCCCTCTGCACTCATTGAGCATGGCAGGAGAGGGTGAGAGAGCAGGAGATGAGGAGAGAGGCGGTAAGGAGAGAGGGCACGGCAGAAACAACACAGACAACAGCAAATTCAGAGTGATTTCACGAATGGGGAAGAGAGGGAGGGCATTGGGGCAATGAATGGGGAGCAGGCCATACCACCAGTGACTGCTTACCTTGTGTGCTACAAAGAGCAGGACACTGGGTGCTTTCAGCAGGTATGGTGGTATCAAACAAAGAAAAACCGCCATTGAAACGGCTGAAAGGACCAGCCCAGCCAGCACACCCCCTACCATCACTCCAGCATTGAACAGGAGGTGCTGCAGTGGAGACAATTTTCGAAACGTCTCAAAAGTTTCTGCATGGAGCCATGCCATGTCATGCCATGCCATGCCAGCCTCATAAAGAGCACGCTACTGTGCGCCACACTGTGCACATAGAATGACTCCACTGCTGCACTCCTGAGCTTCCTTGAACTCGCACCACACGATCATCCACACTCCAGCATCCACCCCCATCCACGCCACACCCACAACCACATCCACGCCCTCACCAGCAAGCACCAGCAATCCCAGCCCCAACCCCACCCCCACCCCCACCCCCACCTGCACCCCCACCCACCATGGCATCGTGAAGCACAACCTTGCTACGATACACGTAGTGCGAGGCCCCCAGCTCCAGCGAGAAGCTTTGAGACGTCTCAAATGCCACAACCCCCAACCCCACCAGCACCTCCCGCCCCCATCGCCACCCCCACCCACCATGTCATCGTCAAACACGTCCTTGCTGCGGTACACGTAGTGCGAGCCGCCCAGCTCCAGGGAGAAGCATTTCGAGACATCTCAAAGGTCACAGCACCAGCACCCCCACCCAGCCCCACTCATCCCCACGCACCATGTCATCATCGAACACGTCCTTGCTGCGGTACACATAGTGCGAGCCGCCCAGCTCCAGGGAGAAGCGCCCCAGGTCAAACGCCTGCCGCACCGCCTCCTGCCCCCCGCGCCGCAGCCCCTCGTGCGTCGCAATGAGAGCCATCTGCACGTGGTTCAGCCAGGAGAGCGTGTAGCCTGGGTCCCGGCCCGAGCTGGGGGAATGGAGAGGGGGACGGGGTAAAAAAATGAGAGGAAAAGGTAAGAATGTTGTGGGGAGAGGTGGGTGGGAGCGGGAGGGTGTATGGGATGTGGTAGAGAGAAGGCGCAGCCCCTCGTGCGTGGCTATGAGGGCCATCTGCACGTGGTTCAACCAGGAGAGCGTGTAGCCCGGGTCCCTCTGCGAGCCAGGGGAGGAGGGGAATGGGGAGGGGACAGCAGGTGGGAGAGGAAGGGTGTGTGGGAAGTAATTCATAGAGAGCACGGTGTGACAGTGACAGCGTGGTGGCTGTGAGGGAAGTGGGACGGAAGTGGGAGGGAAGTGGGAGGGAAGTGAAGAGTGGCAAGCAAGCTCCATGCGGACTCCATGCATCAAACCCCTGCCTCTTGCCCTGACTAGCACCTCTCACCCTTAAAACTCAAAAAGAGAGCCCCTTCTCATGTCCCCCGGACAGGCCAATAAAGCTTCCAACTCCACTCCCTTCATGCAAACCCTCAACCCTCCCTCGAAAAGCACAGACATCTGTTCCCCCGCCCTCCCCCCCAAAACGCACCCCTCTAGAGGCGTGAACACCTCGCGCTCGCTGCCCTCCACGTCCAGCTTGACGAGATCAAATCCCGGCACGCCTGTGACCTCTATGAGCCACGGCACTGTCACTGTGTGCACCATGCCGTACTGCTTTAAACCCCTCTCCTGGCCTGGGACGGATGTCATTAGGGTCCAGTACCCGTGGCTGCGCGGGTCCATGTGCACTGACAGGGGCTCACTGTGATGACAGGGGAGGTCGGGTATGAATGAATGCGCAAGTAGGAAAAGAAAGGAAGGAGATGGAATCTGAGACGTCTCGAAAGAGTCCAGTACCGGTGGCTGCGTGGGTCCATGTGCACTGACAGGGGCTCACTGCCGGTGGCAGCGGAGGTTGGGGTGTGAACGAAGAATGGAGAACAATGAGGGGACAATGGACAGAGAAAGACCAAAAGTAGGGGGAAAAAAAAAAACAACCAACAAACAAAGGCAAATGAAGGTGTGGGAATCCATCTAGAATGTGATGATGAGAGGTGCTGCCCTCTACAATCGTGAGTGCCACGCTAGCATGGCCTCTTGATTCTGTTCCAAAGTGTTTTCTCTTGCGGCGCCTCTAAAGTAGACACAGACTCACTTGAGTTTGTTCCAAAGTGCAGCACGGAAGGCAACGACATTGGGCAGGGCGAAGGTGTTGAGTCTGAGCATGCGGTAATTCTCCTCTGATGACTCCACTGCCACTATGCGCGCATGGGGGAACCTGGTGCACACACATGCCATGCCATGCCATGCCATGCCATGCCATGCCACACCAGCAATGCCATGCCATAACATGCCATGCAATGCCAGCAGCGCCAACCATGCCAAACCAATCTCATGGTCCATGCCACACACAATCAACAACATGCAGCACATGCATGGCAAGCAGAGGCATGGGGGAGAAAGGAGACGGTTGAGGCTGACAGGATGCCTCGCACACTGACTGACACCCAAAAGAACCCATCTGCATTCATGTTTCACCTCGTGTGCCAACATTCATTCCATGCTCCATGGAAGGAGCATGCCCGATGCATCAACCTACCCTACATCTGACATCACCCACATGCTGTATACAGAACACATGCCAGCCATGTATGAGGTTAATAAAACTACAAAATTAACACGTCTTGCTCAAAGCCAATCGTTCCCCTGCATGGGGACTCACATAAGGGCAAGCACAGCAGTCGTGATGCCAATGTTAGCCCCACCGTCCAGCACCGCAGTGAACCGCTTCTGCCTGGTCTCTCGGCGCAGCACGGAGAAGGGCGTGGGGGAGTTTTCAAAGTGCACGCGCAGCACCATGCTGTCAGACGTGTGTGGGCGCAGGTAGAAGGGGATGATGCAGCTCGCTCCTGTCAGGCACGGCACCTCGCCCTCCACGCTCACTAGCACGCATGGCGGCACTGCTAGGTTGTCCTGCGTGCATGCATAGGGGAGTGGGTAGACGGGGTTTGTGGGTGAAATTGGGAACGGTAGGGAGAGGTAGGGAGAGGGGGTGGGTGTGAGTGTGTGGGGTTGGAGGATGAGGGGGTGTGGGGGAAGGAGGTGCAGCAAAGTGTCAGGGTGGGTGATGATGGGACTGCTGGTGGTGATGCAAGACTGTTGCTCACACGTGTGGAAGTACTGTTAAGGGGCTGACAGCCTATGAGGAAAGAGAGGCAAGTGCAAATGAACACAGAGAAGTAACAAACTGCGATGGTGAAGGAATTAATTAGTTGCAAGGCTAACCTTTTTCGGATTTGGTTTGGACATGGTGAGCTCGTAGTTGAGTGTGATGTAATGCATCCACCTGCTCACATACACACGGACATGCGCATGCACATTATTATCCCCCATCCACGCCCATATTCACACCTGTAAGCAACCACGCAGATGCCACTCCATCGCGATCCTTCCCATTCTCTGCTGTTCTTCTAAAGCAAATCGAGCCCCCCTCACTGGAACGACAAATAGAGCCCCATCTCGCGGAACATTCGCAAGTACCTTCCAAGAAAATAGTATCGTGGCGAGCCACGAGTGTAGCCATGCTCCATCGCTAGGATACGCTTTAACTCATCGTCTGTGTAACCACACGCCCCTTGCAGTCGCACGGCAGGAAGCAGCGAGCAATCGGTGGGTTCCTCCACGATCCGCCATAGCAAGCAAACCGCGGATACGATCAGGAGCACGCGTGGTAGAGCATAGAAGAAGGCGGCCGTGGGGCTGAGATAAGAGGAGGTGGCTGAGGAGGTGGCCGTAGGCGATGGAATGGGAATGAAGATGGAGGAAAGGAAGGATCGGAGGGAGCGCGGGAGGAAGGAAGTGGGTATAGAGGTTGGTAAGGACAGCCTTAGTGGTAGCGCGAAGGCACTTCGAGTGGACGATGACTGACCAGACATGGCTGCCAGTGTGTGTGGCCAAATTCAGAGGAATCGGTGTGGAGGGCCTGTACTGGAGTTAAGGACGTGCCATAAATAGGGTGCACGATAAAAAGTGTGTAGTTCTTTTTCACTCTGTTCGTCTACCCTCGTAGTCGTAGCCCATTGCAAGCGACCGTGATGCGGCAGAAAGACTTCGGTGTGTTGACCGCGAAAATGGGAGGATTAACTGAGCGCGGTAGAAACAGATCAGTTCTGGGGAAGTCGAGGGTGCCCTCACCCAACTGCTAACTGGGTGAAACCGTCCTATCAGTCAACCTAATATTTAAGAAATCAACCCGCAATAATCTAATTCGATCTCAGCCAAGAAACTAACAGATTACGAGACTTAGCTTAAGTTATGCTTTCCAGATAATTTCTCCCAACATCCCACTTGTATCAATAATTTCTAAATCATAAACATTCACGAGGTGAAGCATAAAAATTGACAACGAAAAAATGCCTAACAATAGTCATAGGACACCCTTACAGAAAGGTCAGAATATGATCGGCGCATAACCTAGTAAACTCCAAAATCCCCACATCATGAAATATTTTACACGTTTGTTCAAGACTTGTGCTGCAGACGCCACCCCAGTTGGTGCGCGGTCCGATAATCACTGGATCTGATTGGTGGGTCATGTTGTGGGAGATTTCCTTCGCTCTTTGATGGGAACCATTCTCCTCCTCTTTTTGGCAGGCTGCTCTTTACATTCAACACACTTGACAGGTTCATCTGAACCTTGCCATGGCAGGCAGCCATTGATTTCCTTTGTACAGTCCATACACTTCACCTGCAAGATGGGATGGCTCAAGAAAATGGAAGAAAGACGTGATTATCTCAAAACGCGAAGGTGGAACTTACGGGTGTGATGTCAGTTGAATCATAACAATCCCTATGTGAATTCTCAGCCTCCACAGACACATGAGGATGCACAGTGATGCCATTGGCTTTCTCAATTGCGACAACATCCTCCATAGTCCCCTGCGAAGTTTTCGAAGAGTCAATTGAGCGAGCATGGTAGAGGCGACGAGAAAAGCAATACAGGTACCGTACGTGTTACCTGTGCAGAAAATGATGCAATACTCTCTGGAAGTTCTGCCAGTCCTTGGCCGGCTGGAACTGCAGCAGCAACAGCTTTCTTCTGTGCTAACGACTTGGTAGTGCTGCTGCCAGTTGCTGAAGAGCTGTAAGAAATGCTCTGCATTCCCAAAAGCTGTGTGGGGACAATTTCAAGCTCAGCACAGTCACTGTTGCCCGAAAGATCACTGGCCTTCAAGTCAAAGATGGATGTAGTGGCAATCCCACGCTTTTCCTCCTGGGAAGGCGCAGCCACTTCAGCTGCAACTCCACCTTTCCCCAAGGGAAGGTCTCCAGGAACAGGTTTACTGGTGTTGCCCTGGGCCTCCACACAGGCACTCGCCGCTGCCTCCACAGTAATTGAATCGCTAGGCTTCGGTGCAGTATTGTTGGGATCAGACTCAACTACCATACCTCCATTCTGGTGCAGCTCATCAACGGCATCCTTGGCCAAAACAGCTGGCTCCCCATCTCTGCCTTCACAATTTGTAGTAGCAGTAGCCTCTTCCTTGTTGCGGCCTCCAGCGCAGGTGGATTCACTCTCAATCACATTCGCTGTTGCTTCATCAACCTTGGCCACCTTTTGTGACTGAGCTTGAGTGAGTGCTTGTAGCTGTTCAGGAGAAAGGACAAGTGACTGACTAGTTTGGAAGAGATCCTTGTACCAGTGCATGACATCCAGCTCCGGAGGAGGCTTGACCTGCAGAACAATGTGAGCGGCTTCCTTCTCAGGGAGAACACTGTCTGCCACAGAGAGCTCCTTATCCTCAGCGAATTGCGAAGCACCAAATTCAGGTTCAGCGCACACTGAACTCGACACTGGTGGCTTAATCTTCTGAGAACTTGGTCCTTGTGAGTCCGTCCCCTGACTTGACTTAGCACGATTGGCTGGAGGTAGAGGCACCTTGAACGAGCTGTTTCTCCTTCGCTTGCTCAGCATACCTCCACTGCCAGTGCTCTGCTGCGAATCTCGTTCTTGTGATGCAGCAGCCTGACTGCCTTTAAATTCTTGAGTCTGGGTGTGCTGATTTGGTGTGCCTTGAGCCTCAAGGGGAGTGAGAAGTCCAGAGCAGACAAGGCCATCCAGTCCATACACTTCCTGAGTAGACTTCCTATCATCCACGCCACCTTCATTTTCAACAAGATGCGTCAGACATGGCAGAATTAGGCAATCTCTTTGAATGACGCGCCATTCTGCTTACCTTGAACAACGGATTTGATTGGTCGTTGACCTCCACTGCATCGTACTTCATGCTCTCCAATGACCTGCAGCTAAAGCATGATTTAATCATGGTAGTTGGCCCAAACGTTTATCCAACTACTCGAAACTAACCTCAGCAAGGCCCTCGGTGGACGTTGTGGCATGTTGTAAAGATCCTGAAGGGGAGTCAAACGATGAGTCACTGGAGGAGAAAGATTTAGAAGAAAGAGAAGCAGAAAGGGCTCGTACCTCCTGATAATTCGACCTGGCAAATAAGGTCCCCAAGTGTCAATATCAAAAGGAGCACAAGGATTAGGACCAGCAAAAAAAAAAAAAGAGAGGCTAAGTATCAATCGACGAAGCTAACCTTGACTTGCTGGTTAACGAAGGACACAAGGCCTATGCACGAAGTGCCCGCATCAGATGAACCTAAGATTGTATTCCACGTTAGAGAATGAATACGTGCTTGACATGCCACAACTTCCAACGTAGCAGGAAACATACTGAGTAGAGATTCGGTATCACAACCCTCCTGCGCCCTTGGCCAATTTACGTACTTCGATTCCACCTGCATAACAAACGTTGGCACTCGAATGAAAGTGGTTACAGACGAAGGAAGTAGTGGAATGGAAGTTCCAGGACTACGCGAACCTGAGCCCATTCTGCAACTAAGATAAACTTCCAATATTACCTCGCGTAGTCTTAACTGCAGCTGAGATATCTCCAGCTCAAGAGGCTGGCAGAGGTCTTCACAACTAGTACCAGTGGAGACTTGGCCTGCAACAAACATAAGTATCGTTAAGCCAATGTTGACCATTTATTGTGAGATCGTTGGACCGTTGTTTTGCCCACTTGTTAATCCACTATGCGAGGTCCCAGAGCTTATCAGCTTTGGTCGTGAAGCCTTTTCATTCTCAAACTCTTCCAGTCTTTGCTTGAGGCATTTCGTCTCCTTTTCATACACTTCAGTTCTTGCGTTCCAACCTCTCTGTTCCTCTTTCCGCCTGTAAATGGGAAAAAAAATGGTCAGAAGGAAAGGACTAAGAGATGGCTGCAATCGGAGTGAACAAGAACAAAGAAAAAGAAGGGCTTACTCCTGCTCCATCTTCTCAATCACAGCATTCAGCTCGTTAACATTTGCCTTCATCGTGGAGTTTTCAGAATCCATCTGCAAGGGCCACAGTATTATGTGAAAAACGAAGTCAGAGAAGACACCACCCTTCAAACCTGGACTGAACCCTGAACATCTTAATTACCAAAGCTCAAAGTCCCTACCTCAGAAAGGCGGTCTTGCTGCTCAGAAATTTGTTGTTGCAAGTTTCCCACTAGCCCTGTCAGCTCTTTAGATCGATTCTCATACTCAACACACGCCCTTTGAGCTTCAAGATGCGCTGAGTTGACCAGGTAAAGCTCCTCCTTTATGTCCTGCAAGCAGTCAACGGAGTTGGGTGACAAAGCAATGGTAAAACAAAAATGGCCGCAAAGAGTGTAACATACCACTTGCTCTTTTTTCACTCGAACAAGTTCTGCATCCTTGACTTCGATGGCTGCCTGGAGGTGATATTAACAGAAGTTAAGGAAAACACAAAAAAAGGCTGACACATTCAAGATTGTCGCACACCACAATCAAACAGACACGTATGAAACAAGTGAGCGGGGTTTCGTATGTTAGGATATTGGCTTCATTTCGGTCTCATGCCGGAACTGGTCCATCTCCAAAAAGTCAATCTGCTCCTTCAAGGCAGCAACTTCCGCCTCCTTGTCCTTCAAATTGTCTGCAAGCTCTTTGCTTCGACTTTCCAGATGCTTTAGTTTTTCTGCAGAACGGAATCAGTGTCAATTATTCGCATAGTTAATCTGGCAGAAATAGAAAAAGGGCTTACCCATGAAGCGTTTTTCCAAATCCGTAACCTTGGCAAGACGCTCCTCCAAACATTTAGCTGTGTCGAACAGAAATATGGCGTGAGATTAACAACCCAAGATGGATTTCGGGATTCTAGGAGGTCACTTACAGGTACTTTCGGACGCGTCTAGGCGAGCTTGTGTCTCTGAAAAGTTGTTGCAAATAGTTTCAAACTCTTTCTGTATGTTGGATACCAGGCTAGATTGGAGCGCAAGACGTTCAGTGCTCCATGAAACTTCCGAACACTTCTCAAGGAGACGCTTTTCAAGATCGCGGTTGGTGGCCTGCTCTAAAGAAACGTCAATGAATAAACGAAGATTGTGAGGATGTCGAGAGACCATTTGACGTCACATACCTGAAGCTCCTCTATCGCCTTCTTCTTTGACTCTGATAGGGTCACCAGCTTCTCTTCCAGCATTCGAATCTTGGATTCGAGCGAGTCAGTTGCTCTGCGAAGCTCGTCGGCCTGCGAATCAGTTGTGTTAGAATGCATTAATGTGTTCATGCACCCTGCATTTTCGTCAATACCTCTGACTTTGCCTTCTCGGCTTTCGTCCTTTCCTTCCCCATGTCTTGCAGGACTTGCTTCTTGTCTTTCTCCAAGTGTTCGATTAACAGACGTTCTCTCTGCGGTTTATGGAACGTGATTGCGATTTACACACACAATAAGAAATATTGATTTAACTTTTGAATAAATGACCCACCTCTCGAAGTGTTTCGACCTCTTTCTGACCCTCATCCTCCTTATCCTGCGGACATTAGGTATGATTGGTCTGTGACACACATATTAATCACCCACTCAAGCATTACCTGCACCCATTTGGCCTCGGACATCAATAACTGCAGCTTGTACTTGAATTTCGAAAACACTAGTCCCATTTCACACTTTCCCGAGCTGTTGCTGGGTGGAGCTCCCTGAAATGCAGCACATGTCAAAGGTGAGGAAACCGAAAAAAAAGATTCACATAAAGCGGCAAGCGGAATAACACACCAGAAGAAGCGGATCATCATTTGCCTTCTCAGACTCCATTGCTTGGCTGGACGATTCCATGATCATATGAAAGCCGATTCTCAATACCGTCACACAATCATGGAAGGAGAAGTGATCGACAGCACAGTGGACTCAAGTCGAATTGTTCCGAAGTGATCGACAGAGTGGACTCAGGCCGAATTGTTCCGAAGTTATCGAGACCACATCCAAGTGCCTCCAAATGAGCCAAATTCAAAATGTTGTACGTGATGTTTCATGCTTATAAGGGCGGGGGCAGCGCGTTCATTTTCCTGGCTTAGCCCGAAACAGTTACCAGATTCAGGGGTTTGTAACCCCGATTTAGGGTAACCTGTGGACACGACGGAGTATACAGTGGATGAACGGTGGCTGTTTTCCGTGCCGTCAATCGAACAAAACACGTTCCCACAACGTCCGCGAACAACCCGCGCATCATTTGAGAAAGCCCTTGAAAACGTCAGCGAAACCGCACCACGACTTCGTCAAGCGCGTACGACCCTCGCAAATCCAAGGGTTCGAGTGTCTGGTGTGCGCGAAGTTTTGCCTCCTTCAATTCGGGGGCACAGGGTTACCTCGCTGGGTGGGCGGTTTGGCAAAAATGTGGCGGGTCCTGTGCCGGATTTTGGACGCGCGTGTCCCACCTGGGACACAAACTAAGCGCGGTACAAAAAAGCTACAGTAACCTCCAGATTCGACGGGTGTCAAAATTTTGTACAAGTGGCGAAAATGAACGCGCTGCCCCCGCCCTAAATTGCACTGCACTGGCGAAGGACAACTGCAATTCTGACAGCACCGTGCAGGAATCGTTCTACAGCTATGTACGGTAATATAAAAGTACAAATCGTTAACACATCAATAGAGAAAATATTTTATTTTCCAGCTACAACAACAACTCAAAATAAAAAGGCGCCAATATGTATTTTATACAGTACTTAGAAAACAATAAGCTTGTTCTAACGTCATTTTGGCTGGCATATGTGCAGGCCGTGATACGTGTTGGATGCAACACCACTTTTCAATGTGTAGACGCAAGTTAGCAAGAGTACCGGTAACACGAATTTATAGCTGCACTAATTATACAGCAAACAAGCATTCACACTGCCCATGTTCCCTTCATGCTGCACACTATAGGAGCAATAAACATGGCACTGTTTCATAAGCCTTTTCGTGCTACCACAGGCACCACCATCATCCCAGTGTAAACATTTGTACCGCTATCAGACAAAGTTCGCCGCACTACCCACAATCTTGTCGTTCTGCCGCAAATCCTCCGAGCCTCTCACTCCCTGCCGTTTGCCCTGATCTTCTGCCTTAGCATTGGAGTTCTCTGGCTGCTGATCCCTCTGTCGCCTTCTCATCACAGCGTGTGCAGCATGCCCTATGGCATGGCGCTGCTGCTCCCATCGTCTTCCCACTCGTTCTTTGGTTGCTGAGCCTGCAACCAGTGCTGCTCCTGCTGCAGCTAGCAGTGCCCGTGCAGCAGCCCTTGCCATAGCTACCTTCCCACGCGGAGTTTCTGCCACTGGAGACCCTGGTGCTGAGCCTGTTCTGGTTTTCTCCGAATTGCTGTCTGAATTGAGCTCTGCTGCCTGTGCGGCAGCTACAGCATCTGTCAATATGTCCTCCTCTTTCACATGCTCCACTTCTACTTCAGCTTCGGCTGCTGGTGCTGCTGCTGTTGCTGCTGAGGCAGCTACTGTGCCCGCAACATCTGCTGATCCGTTACTCCTCAGACTATCTGCTTCTGCACCTGCAACACTTGCACCAACCTTCTCCACACCTGCTACTACACACACCTCATTATCCAAGCTCAAAGACTGATTCTGATTTTCCTCACAGCCACCGTCCTCTCCACTCGCACAGCTCCGTGTCTCCTTTATCCCCCCTCCTTCCTGCTTATCTCCCGCCTTGCCAGTCTCCTCTCCAGCTTTCTCCACCTCTGCCTCAACCACTTCAACTGCCTCCACTGCCAGCTCAGCAGCAGCCACTAGCTCCTCCACCTCAGCAGCAATCCGCGTTTCCACCACGCTCGGAGCAACCCTGCCACTCCTTACACCCACACCGGGCTTCCCGCCAACGCTGCTCCTCGCACTCACACTGCCGCCGATCACACTGGCCCGGCTCTTCAGCTTGATCCCCATCTTTCCGCGCCAGTTCCTGAGCCAATTCAACCGCCCAAGGCCAGTGACTTGACCTGGAGCGCCAGTGGGAATGCTGCTCCCACCCATGCTGCTCTTCCCAGCTCTGCACCCTACAATCACAGCCAGAGGCCCGCTGGTGATAGTGCTGGTAGTAGCTGAGCTGGAGATGCTGCTGCTGCTGTTGGGAATGAGGTTGCGGCAGGAGTCAGAGGAGCCGTCTGAGGGGTTGCTGCCCTTGCTGCCGGTATTTGCCTCACTTGGAGACTCCTCTCCTTCGCTCGGGATTGCCTGCAAAGCGCACCCCTTACTGGCCGCTTCGGTGTGGGTAGGTTCAGGGGTGGAAATGATGGAGGCTAGAGCGGCATCTATGTTGGGAATAGGACCGTGGGCCGAAGCAGCAGAAGAGCCCGTCAGGGAGGCATTGAAAACCGCCGCAGCAGCAGGAGCAGCAATGGCAGTGGCAGCCTCTGTTTGCTGGCTGCTGCTGATGCTGATGCTGATGCTGCTGCTGATGCGAGTGGCGGTCAGTGAGGGAAGAGAAGGCGCGGGAAAGGGCAGCAGCAGCGTTGACCAGATGAGTCTGATGCGCCCTCTGAGCCGCCTCCGCTGCCACTGCAGCATGCGCAACAGAGGTACCCTCTGTTGCAGACTCACTAACAGCAGGAAGAGCGGTAGAAGGCGGCACAGGATTGGCACCAAGGCGTGACGTCCCAGGGCCAGCAGCAGCCCTGCTGGTGCCACCGTCACTACCCCCACCAGCACCAGCAGCAGCGGCAGCAGCAGCATTAGCGGCGGAGGCTGCTGCAGCGGCAGCAGCAGCAAGTTGGAACTTGTACTGCGCGTGGCGGCTGAGTGGTGCGTTCACTGTGATGCCTAGGCTGCTGGCAGGAGGGGTGATTGTGACTGTGCCATTGCGTATCGCCCTCACTCGATTAAAGTCTGCTGAGAACCCGTCTGCCTCCTCGAAGTTGCCGAATATCGGGACTCCGATTGCTGGCAAGGGGCAGTGGAGGAAGGAAATGATGACAAGGAGTGAGTTTTTGTCACAGAACATTAGTCAAACTGAATTATTTAGTCCTTTTAAATAAACCTTAGGGTCTTCTGAAGGGTGCATACCTGGTCTTGTCCTGGGGACACGTGTAACAGCAGCACCAGCAGCAGCAGCAGCGGCAGCGGCGGCAGCAGCAGCAGCCTCCTCTGCGTCGGCGCTATCCCCAGTGACTGGCCCATTCTCCGTGGCAATACCAGCAGCACCCGCCGCAGCAGCAGAAGCAGCAAAGCTAGCAGCAGAGGCAGAAGAAGAGGAGCCTTTCACTGAAAGCGTGGAGAGCAGCCGAGCAGGTGGCAGCGGCAGGGCATTGTTCACAGAGGAGGACTTGGGGAAGTTCGGAGGGCGGGATGGGGCGCCGCTTGATCGCGGGCTGCTTGGTCTGAGGGGAACAAGCTTGCTGGCAGCAGCAGCAGCAACAGCAGCAGCAGCTGTCGCGCGCCTACCAGCAGGAGAATCGGGAAGAGCGGGGATGGTGGGCAGCTTGTGAGCAAGCCTGGGAGGAATGGGGGGGCGAGCTGCCGCTGTTGCTGCTGCTGAGGGTGAGGGTGAGGGTGAGGGTGATGGTGACGGTGATGGTCCTGCTGATGTTGGTGATATAGACGGTGATGGTGTTGCTGATGATCCTGCTGTAGTGAGCGACGATGGGGTTGCTAGTGGTGACGTGGACGCTGTTGATGGTGACGTTGCGTCTGGCGTGACAGGCGGCGGCATCATCACGTGAAGCTGGTTACCCCACTCTGCATGGGCCTTGCTCCCATGCCATTCCTTCACCACCGCGTGACTCTTCCTCCTACGTTCCTCCATCTCCTTCTCTTCGTCCTCCTCCTCCTCCTCCTCCTCCTCCTCCTCCTCCTCCTCCTCCTCCTCCTCCTCCTCCTCCTCCTCCTCCTCCTCCTCCTCCTCCTCCTCCTCCTCCTCCTCCTCCTCCTCTTCGTCCTCCTCTTCCCCTTCCACTTCCTCGTCTCCTTCCTCCGGTTCCCCCTTCTCGTTCTCATCCACCTCCTCCCTCTCCTCCTCATCCCTCATAGACCCAGCCACAGTCTCTGCGACTGAAGCAGCGTCAGGAGCGGGACTGGCCAGCACAGCAGCGGCTAGTCTAAGCTTCGCCTCGGGATCGCCCATCCTCCCCGCCGCCAGCAGCAGCCGCGCCGCCGCCGCCGCCGCCGCCTGCTCGTCCTCCGCGCTGTCATCCAGCCGAAGGCGCTCCGCCAGCATTAGTAGCTGCGCCTCGTACTCCTTTAAAGACTTGGGCTTTGCCCTGCCAGCACCACCGCCCCGATACGACCCGCGAAGGGACCCGCCTTTCACGCTACCTCTTGCAGCCGCTTTAGTGGCCGCTTTGCTTTTACCAGAAGAGACCGGCGATTCGTCCGCGAAACCTGCGGAGTCGTGCTTAGTAGTAGTCGAGTCCTCCGCGAGCCGCGCGAACAGATCGACGGCGCGGATTCTCCCGCCACGGCTGGCGCCGCCGCGTTTCCCGCTGGTACTAATTATTTCGGACGGGCAGAACTCGTTGCCTTCGCCGTCGCCCGCGCCGTAGTCTCCGCCGTGCGACGGCACTCGCGCGATCCCGGAAGACTCCCGCGCCGCCCTCACCGCCGCGAGCGCCGCAGACGCCGTGGAAGCCGGCATAGTGGCGGCGACGTTGCGATGGCGACGGCGGATAGAAGCGAGAGACGGCGAGGTACCAGTAGTAGCGAGCTTAATAGTACTAGAACCAAAATCGCCGGGACGACTCCGACTGGTCGGAGGGGAGGGTTCCCTGGGAGCCGTGAATTGCGCTGGGGCGGCGGGCGCGGTTTGAGACTCGGGGAAGACCGGGCGGCAGCGCTCGGCGCGCTTTTGGGCGAATATGCCGGAGTAGCGGTCTTGCCGGGTCAGCGTGTTGCTGCCCGCCCACTCGCCGAACTTGGGTGTGACGACTCGCGCCTGTCGCGGATGAAAGCGCCGCAAGGAATGCGAGGAACGGGGGGAAGGGATTGAAGATGAGACGTGAAACAGGAGGATACAAGACGAATGTTCGGCGCTAGTTCAACAGGTGGAACGATTGTGGTTCTATCCAGGGATACCCTTGATTTTTCTAGCTGAGCTGCTTGTTTTGGCGAGAGAAGAGATGTCAGAAAACGTGAGGAGGTAGGCGCGCGAGCATTACCATGATGTGTGAAGAGTACTACTCGGCGTGGCTTGTTGCAAAGTTCCCCTCGCCAAGAGGATGGCGCGCTCCGTCAGGACCAATCTCGTTCAACCGGGCTGACCGAAACCCACGACGAGACGGTTAGGGGACGGAAACTGGGCGAAAGCGAACGGAAGAAGGCGAAGACACGGACGAGCTATGAAGCGTCTGAAACTAGTAGGTCGTGAAAAGATACAATAAAATGGAGAAACCGGAGGTTCTCTGGAGGATATCGGATTCGGGAATGTGTTCCTTGAGAGTTCAAGAAGACAGCTATCAACGATTTTGCGTGCAGAAAAGGTGCGGCTAATTAGGGTGAGGGAAAAGACGCGCAGCTAGTAGCTTAGGCCCCGCACGAACGAAACGATGTAGTCATTTGTCGTGGTCGGACCTTTCTTATCAACCACGCGATGAAAGAATTCAGTAGCCCACCCCAAGAGGTCTGCTTGGTTGAGCTTTCCCCTCCCTCCCATTTGCCTGATCCGAAGGAGGGTCCCCCTGAATCCCCTGATGGGTTTCCCCCTCCCGCCGCAGCACACGCACCGCGCCGCACCTCCCTCCCAAGTCAACATTGCTCCTCGATGACACCCCCCCACTGCTCCGCTCCGCAGGACCCCACCACTGCTTTCCAACCTGCTTGCACCTGGAGAGACCTCCCCTCCCCAGAGTTTCAAACCAACCCCCGCGCCAACCTCAGACCTCCCGCCATCCAATCAAAGAGCGTTGCTACCTCCAGTCGTTTCTGGCTGGCGGACGGAAAGAAAAAGGAAGTCCGTGGGGTCACAAGGGCAGCCTGGGCAGGAACATGGGCTGACCGCACCCACCAGTTGCCTGTTTTCCGATGCCCGTCCAAATTGAGCTAGTGAATGTCCGCATCGATTCAAAGATGTTGGTGTTGGTGGTGTCTCAGCGTAAAGAAAACAAATCTGCTCCGGGCAGACCCATAGCTGACGTGGAACCCTGCTGATTTCGTAAGGGCATACGGGGAGGCTGGGGGGTGCTACAGTGCAATGAGCCCCCCCACTGCCAGACCAGGCCCAGGCCAGTCCCAAACAACAAAGGCCAGCTAGAAGCGAGCGTTTACCGGGTCAACGCATGGAGTTTCAACGATTTTCCCAGGTTGTGAAGAAACTCGACGACGCGCGCCAAAGTCAACGATCGTCGGACCCATGTCAGTTTGAGGACCTTACGACTCTGATTGGATATTGATTTCTCTGTTACATACAACCCTTGTTCAATTTAACCTACGTACGGGTTACCCATTACAAATCTAGGTGATGTGAGTGAGGACTCAAAATCCATAAAACCCGTCAAATGGTGAACAAAATCAAGGGATACGAACAGTATTCCTACATAACAAATATAGCACTCGCCCAATTCTGCAAAAATGGTCGGGAATCTGCCACTTAGTTAGAAACTAACCCCAGCCAAATTTTCACACACACACACCACCCACCGTTTCCAGTATGATTATAGCATACACACTGTGCAACATAGAGGATGCAAGTCACTGCATGAGCAGAACGAACAAGCAAAATACCCTGCGCTGCACTTCTATCGTTCTATGTACAATTAAGGTACACTAATTGTATGCTGAAATCCCCACAGGTGACAGGTCGCCAGCGGACACACGCGAGATGGGTGACGTGGCAGCAGGTGTGATGTGGAGGGAAATGGCTACCGTAGGATACACGAGAATGGGACAGTAGGCAGCATAGAGCTACGAGCCAGCGTTTATCCAGGGACGTAAAAATCCATCTTGTCCACGGGCAGGTTTAAAATGTCCGTGTCCGCCTGTAGAAAACAGGGGAGGAGAAAGGGGTGGGAGGTAGGGAGCACAATTACTGTGAGAGCAGAACCAGGTGACAGAGAGAAGACAACAGACACAGCCAAAGGAAGAAAGGACAAGAAAATAAAAGAAGAGACAAGAAAAGAAAAGAAAAGAAAAGGAAGAAGCGTGGCTTCGTGATCCAGCCTCATCCACACCCGGCGACTTTTCCGGCAGCACACACACCACACAAGCACACACGCAATGCAAGACTCATCTCGTCTCGTCCCAAAGACAGCATGAATGCACCCCCCTCCCCGACCAGCCCTGGATCCCCGTGCCCACCCATACGCATCCCTCCAAAAACAAACCACCCACGCGGCACTCACATCTTCAAAGGGCACGAAGACAAAAGCAGCCGTGCCCCTCTGGTGCGCCACAGCCGGCACCTCCGGATCCAGCTCTGCTAGTACCTCCAAAGGATCCCTCTCCTCCTCCTCGCCCTCCCCTCCCACTCCTCCCCCTCCTCCCCCCTCCATCTCCCCCTCTCCTTCTGCCTCGCCGTCCCCTCTCCCTCGGCCCCCCCCTCTGTGCCGGCAGTGCTGCTGCAGCAGCAGGTCGACCTCCTTGGGCGTGCGAGGAGTGGCCTGATGTCCCACTCCTCCAGTGATTAGTGACAGTACATCCAGGCGATTGTTGGCACCCACACATGTGCCTCGCAGCCTCAGCCTTAGCTGCACCAGAGTGGCTCGTCGCCCGGGGTAGAGCAGCGCCGCTTGAATCTGACAAGCAGTCATGCCCATGCCATACCATGCCCATGCCATACCATACCCATGCCCATGCGATGTCATACCATCCCATGCCATGCCATGCCATGCCATACCATGCCATGCCATGCCACGCCATGCCATGCCACGCCATGCCAAGCCATGCCACATGGACAAAAGAAACAGTGGCGGGAGGGTGGTGGGGGGGGAGGAGGGGAGGGAAGGGAAGGAGCAGAAACGAGTGAATGTAGGAGACGGTGTGCCTGCACCGGTCTGCACTAAGAAGGAAAAAGGAAAGAAGAAAACAAGAGAAAATAAAAGAAAGAAACATGGCGGAGCAATACCTTAGATGGGGCCGGCGGGCACACAGAAGGTGGTGTTAGGAAAAGCCTTTACTCCCCTAGTTCAAAAGGGTTGAACGAAAGCAGTCTCCCAGTCTCACCAAGTCATCAGCAATGGAGTATCGACCGAGGTAAATGCAATCGTCAGCATCGCAAGCATCCCCCACAACCTCAATCCCCCCTCTCCCCCCCCCTTCGACCTCCCACCCCACCCCTCTTCCCTAAACGCACAGGTGATCCCTCCCCGAGTCTCACCGAGTCATCAAGGATGGAGTAGCGGCCGAGGTGAATGCCATCGTGAGCATGGGAGGAAGCATCGGTGCCCCCTGCCAGCACTCTGGACGAGGGGAAGCGCATGTGCACCGCTGCCTGCATCTGCCGTGCCACGTCCCGCACCACCTGGGGGGACGTCTGTTGGGGTGAGAGGTGGGGAAATGTAGTGCAGGGCAGGGCGGGGCAGGGCAGGGCAGGTGTGGGGAAGAATGGGGAGTTGGACAGAGGGGGAAGCGCATGTGCACTGCTGCCTGCATCTGCCGTGCCACGTCCCTCACCACCTGGGTGACGTCTGTTGGGATGAGAGGACAGGAGAGGGGCACACACGCAGGGCAGGGCAGGGCAGGGTGGGGCAGAGCAGGGCAGGGAAGGGCAGGGCAGGGTGGGGCAGAGCAGGGCAGGCGAGGGGAAGAATGGGCAGAGGGACAGGAAAAGAGGGACACAAACGGGGAGGGAAACAGAGCAAGAATCTCCAGAGCACGGGGAGAGTAAGGCTTGGCGTGATGAAAGAGACTACACGCGAGATTCATTAAGTAAATCGAGATTCGCTTGAGGTGAGTGATCTAACCTTGTTTGGTGTGGTACGCTCCTTGTGTGAGGGTGCACAAACGCACATACCTTATACAGAACTTTCCCGTTGGGAAGAAAGCAGATGTACCGATAGTAGCACACCTGTTGTAGGGTAGCAGAGCCAGAGGGAAGTAAAGAAATTTGTGAGACGAGTTGGGGACAGCGTTGGGGAGTGTAAAACTGGGTGAATAGATGGGGAACAGAGGGGTTGTCACTGTGGCGAGCAGAAGCGGAAAATTGTGGGGAATCAGAAAGGAAATTCGAGTCGAAAAACGAAGGAAGGGAGGAAAGGGAAGAAAATGGGCGTGCTGAGGAACCAGAGGAGTCAGGGGGGATCAGCAAGGCAGATCATTGCGGAAAATGGGAGTGCTCCCCCCTTAACCAGTTCTTTCCAAACTGACACTCCCCTCCCCACTCCCCCCTGCCCTCCCTGCTCTCCTCATTCCCCAAGCTCCCCTCCCCCCTGCCCTCCCAAGCTGCCCATCCCCCTGCTCCCCCAAAGCCAAGCTCCTTCCCCCGCTCTTCCCCTGCACCCGCCCTCCTCACCATGTGGACGGGTCTCTTGTTGCGCCACTCCACCACCCCACACCGCAGGTACGTGTTGCGACTCACGTACACGCCTGCGATCACCGCCCCACGCACATACACAGGTATGTGCATACATGCGCGCGCACACATGCACACACATGCACACACATGCACACACATGCGCGCGCACACACACACATGCGCGCGCACACACACACATGCACACACATGCAAACACGCACACGCATGCACACTCACGCATGCCCACAAGCACACACGCGCACCACAGCAGCAAGGCGGGGCCGAGGGTGTGTGTGCGGGGAGGGGGGGACGGGATGGAAAGGGCGGAGAGGGATGTGTAACAGAAAAAGTGTTAGGGGGACAGATGTAGCGCGTTTAAGCTCTTTGTTTGATAAGAATGTGCAATCGGGATGGGAAAGTAAAACGGAAGGAAAGACGAGAAACAAGGGAAGGGAGTTTGGCTGAAAAGGGATTGGGTTGGGGGGAATGGGGTGGCAAGATGACTGCGGGAGTGGAGAGCGAAGACAAGGTGAAACGTTAAGGACAGGAGGGACGGGCAAGTGAGAGGCAAGAAGCTAAGAAGGAAGGGGTTTTGGACACAGGGAGACATCACGCTGCGGTAGAGATAAGGGCAGAGGAGAAGTGTTACACACCTTGGAATCTGATTCTTGGGCGGTGCAGCCACATGGTGCGCCATGATGACGAGAAGAAGCGCCGCTGCAAGAGCCTTAGCGCGTCCTCGTGCTCATCCTGTACCCGGGTACAACATGAGGAGGACGAGCAGAGGCAGCAGCAGCAGCAGCAGCAGCAGCAGCAGCAGCAGCAGATTAAATAGAGACTTATTGATGGACGGACAGACAGACGGACGGAGCGGGTTGCTGCTAGGAGGGATGAAGGCTGCAATGAAAGACAGAGTAAATTTACAACAACTTGAGACAATCATTTGTTCCAAAACGGAAAGTCAATTCTGTTGAGACAGAAAGTTGGGAAGGAGGGGAAGAGGCGAGAGAAATCTCCATAGAAAAAAGAGTGAGGAAGAATCAATGGGGGTGCGCACACACGCTAAGCCCCATGTGAGGGGTTTCGATCAAGCCCACTCATCACTTAACAGGAGAGCCCCCATCACCACCACCACCCACCCCACGCACTCCTGTTTCCCTTCCACAAACGCAACCCCCGCTGCAACCCCCCAGGCGCCCCTCTCCCCATCCCCCTCCCCTCCCCTCCTCGCGCCCCCTCCTTCCCAATCCCCCATGGCCCCTCCCAATCCAGCAAATCCCATTCCAATCCCCCCTTGTCCCTTCCCCCATTCCCTCCCCCCGGCCCCGCTACCCTCCCCTCCCCCCTCCCCCTGCCCCCTTACCTGCCAGGCGCGGAAGCAGGCCTCCTTCCAGAGCGCGGGGGCGCGCACGGTGTAGCGCCAGCGGCGGCACACGCACGCCGCGCGCCCCAGACACTGCGCAGGCAGGCGCGCGAACACCTGCGGAACGCGGCGCATGGAAAAGGGGGGAGGGGGGAAAAGGGGGGGAGTGGGGTGGAGGTGCGGCGGGGGTGAGGGGAGGGGCGGGAGGAAATCCTGAGGGGCGAGGAAGGCGGACACGAACGGGAGGGGGCGCGGGAGAGGGGCAGGGAAGAGGGGCGGGGGAGAGCTGGCGAAGCGGGAGTGGGGGAAGAGGAAACGGGTGAACAAGTGTTGGGCGCGAATACTATAAGTATACAAGACTAGCCCCACGCTCCCTTCCCTCCACCACCAAGCCGTGCCTCATTTACAAGAAGTAAATGCAGAGCTCACCTCGACCAGCAGCTCTTCCGGCAGCGCGCGGTGGATTAAAGCCGTGTCCTTCTCGCGAGCGCCGCCGCCGTGACTCACGCTGCCGACCGGTGGAACCGCGCGCACACGCGTGCCGTAGAGACCTGCAGCAGCGCACCCCGCGGAGGACGAAACAGATGCGCAAGGAAAGACGGAGAGACGAGGAGGAAAAGGAGGAGAAATTGAAAGAAGGTGAGGCAAGCCACGGCGACGCATAGAAAGAGGCTACGAAAAGATCATCGTAGTTGATTCCGAAAACGACGCAGTGCTAAAAAAAGAAAAAACGGCAACAACAAAAAAGGCTTTCAACTGGGTATCTGGAAGGAAGAAGACGATGAAGGAGAACAACAGCAAGGAGCGTACTGAGCCATGGCCGCGACGACAGGAAGAAATCGCCTCCCTCCATTCCGCCCTGCCTTCCCCGAACCCCGACGGCGGCGGCCATGCGTGCCGCTACCCTCGCTGCCGCTTGCCGAACAAAAGTGGAGCGGACGGAGAAGCCGGTGGAATGGACGCGGCCGAGGAAGGAGGAGGATGGACGAGGATGGAAGATGATGGAAAGAGAGACGGGTGCTAGAGGGAGAGCGAGGCGAAGAGCGCTTCGAGCTCCCTCTCCTGGTCCGTGGAACGCTGGGGGAACCACGCAGTAAGGGGGCGGCGAAACAGAGGCACCTCACCAGGTTAGTTGGCTCAAGAGGAATTAGATACTGGACAATCAATCACTGACGAAAAAGGCGAGATTTTGACCTCTGTTGTTACAAACGTAGTTCTACGAGTAAATGGGCAATCGGCATGCAAAGCGAAGCAAATCAAGCATGCTCTGGAGCAGCCGACCTGCGACGACGACGCGGAAAGTAGTTCAAGCGCGCGGCGCGCCACTCTGATGCGATGTGACGCGTAGATGGACGTCGGCGGAAGCCGCTGCAACCGCTGAAGCTCCGCGTTAAGCCGCTGACGGTTTATCTCGTCCTCCTCCTCCCGACTGAATGCGACTTGCGTGGAGGCAGACGAGGAAACCCACGGAGCGGCGAAGCTCATCGCCCCGCGGAACGCCCCTAACCGCGCACTTCCCTAGCCCTCGTACCAAATATCAGGAATTCGACGACCCCTGAGTAAGCGAATTCCTGACCTAGTGCTTGCGGCTCACGCTTCAGCCGCCATGGCCATGCAGAATATGTTCACGGAACAGCGCTGGGAGGGGATGTGACTGAAGTGAGGTGAATGAATGCGGGCTATTGCATGAGGATGAAAGAGGGAGGGAGGAAGGCGGGCAGCGGTGGAAGGGGTGTGAAGGGCAGGAGGTGATTGGTGGAGAAAAAACCGGAGGGATGACGAATGGACAGGATGGAAGAAGATAAAGTTTTTGTGCTCGTTACCAGAGAATGAACTACTTTTTCTGCAAAGTCGTAAATTTGTGGAAACAATTTCCCTCCAATCAGAGAGCTCGTGCTAAAATAGCCAATCGTTGGCGACGATTTCTCGTGAAAGCTCGCCCAGAAAGCAACCCTCCAGCCCTCCTGGACAAATGCACTCGTACTCGCTACAAGTTCATCGCATACGCCTATCAGGCTGGTATTACAACTTGTAGGAACCACACTAATACAATGCTTCTACCTGCAAAAAAATACACTGCACACAGCAGGAAAACGAGTGAGAGTGCTCCACGGCCATTAAAAACACTAGGAATAGGTGCAACCCGATCAAAAACCGTTTATGTCTGGGAGGTCGCGCGGGCTGACAGTGAAGGCAGCGTGTAAAGTCGAGCTAACCCTGGGTTCATTGTAACATGAAAGGGTACTCCATAATCCATGGGGTCCTTTCCTGACTCGAACCCAAACGCGCCCACCCCCCTCGCAACCACTTCGCCATCCACCGCCACTATTCCTCCCCGCCCCGGCTCGTGACGAACTCTCCCCCCGGCCTCGAGTTTCAATGCTCGCACCTGCAAGATTTCGGGTTCCGGTTCAACAGAGCAGAGGGGGAAAGGCAAACCACCAGTTATGACTACCGTAACTCACAGGAATGAGAGAGGCGAGGGCAAGCAGGCCTTGTGAGAGGCAAGTGAGGACAAGCACGCCTGCTATGTGCATCGAGACAGAACCAAGAGATGGCAGCTGAGGGTGTTAAACACACCCGCACGCACGTTACTATATCCGCAGCAGCAGCAGCAGCAGCAGTACCATGAGCACCTTCCAGCGAAGCAGAGCAGGCCATTTGGCCGTTACCTTGATGTATTGCAGCAGCGGGCTGGCAATGTGCTTGCCGTTGTTCTCCTCCATCTGCATCATGAGCTCCAGCAGCTGCATGGACGTGCACTCGCGCACCACTATCATGTCCAAACACCCGTCCGATAACTGCCAGCAGGGAGGTGAAAAGGAGGAGACAGACAGGGCGGAGGGGGAGGAGGAGGGAGGAAGGGGGAGGAGGGGGGAGGAAGGGGGATGAGGGGGGAGGGGGGGGAGGGGGAGACGGGGGGGACGGGGGACATGGGGAAGAAGGAGAAGAGGGCGGAGAGGGAGAGAGATCATGGTATGAAGAGGGGAGTGTCACATATGAGAAGAACGTGAGGGAGAGGTTGAAAGGTCAGGCTGAAACGGCTGCAGTTCTGTGTCATACACAAAACAGCACGGTTATACTCCTCTGTGTGCATGCTTTCGTGTCAGGGCTGTCCCAGTCACTCACCCACCTCATACTTCCCCATTCCACCACCCCCTCTTCCCCCCTTTCCTTCCCTTCCACTCCTCCCTTCATCTCCCTCCCCCCACCTCTTCCCCCTTGCCCCCCCCCCTTTCAATCGCACCTCTGCCCCCTCCCAAATCGCACCTCTGCCTGAGGCGTGACGTGCATGGCCTCTGCAGCCCACACAGTGTTCTGGCACCACAGCAGCACAAACTCTTTCTCCGGCATTTCAAGAATAGACTTCTGCAACCTTCTCACCCAAACCTCTCCCTCCCCCCCATCCCACCACCCCCTCCCCAACCTCACCTCTGCCTGCGGCGTGACGTGCATGGCCTCTGCAGCCCAGGCAGTGTTCTGGCACCACAGCAGCACGAACTCCCCCTCCACCGTCACCCAAGCATCAGGATCCCCTAGAGCCGCAGCCGGCACGCCCGCATACACGCCGCCCTCGCGCTCCTCCGGCTGTAGCGCACCCGGGGCTGTGGGGGCTGTGGAGGCCGCGGCAGGCAGGTAGGATAGGCGCGCGTGGTAGCGCCTCAGGTTCATGATGCGGATTATGGACTGCGTGGGGGGTTGGGGTAGGGTAGTGTGGGGTGGGGTGGGGTGGGGTGGGGTGGGGTGGGGTGGGGTGATATGGGGTGGGTGGAGATGGGATGGACTTGAATGAGATCGAGGGAGAGAAGCAGGAGATGGAGAGAGAGTCGACAAGTGGTTGACTTGAAGAAAAGGGGGTTATGAAGGCTGTGGGTGCTTGGAGAGGGTGTGAGGAGTGGAGGATCAATGTGGAGGGGTGGATGGGCTAAGAAGAGGGGTAGAAGGGGTGTCAACATTGAGGGGCATGAGAAGTCAAGGGGTGACAGGGGGAGAGGGTATGGTAGCGATGAGGGGAGGAACGAGAGGAGCGGGACGGCATGGAGACGAGACGTGGCAACCAAGATGGAAGGATGAGTGTGGGTGCATGTGGTTACATAGAAGGTGAGGCGGAAGCCTCCCATCCAGCGATAGACCTCTGACTCGATGTCCACATCGCTCACAAATGCTGTTGTGATGTGATGCACGCACACGTGCACCCATGCACACATGCACACGTGCACACATGCACACATGCACACATGCACACATGCGCACATGCACACATGCACACATGCACACACACATGCACACATGCACACATGCACACATGCATACATGCACACATGCACACATGCACACACACATGCACACATGCACACATGCACACATGCACACATGCGCACATGCGCACATGCGCACATGCCCACGTGCCCACATGCACACATGACCACATGCGCATAAAGATACATGAACATATGCGCACAGCACATGCATACACGTGTACATGCATACATGCATGTCCATCAACACACATGCACAAACAGCCACACAAAGAAGGAATTGGAAAGCAGGGAAGGAGAGGAGTTAGATGCCAATGAGACAAGCAGGAAAGCAGGCCACTGTCTTGTGAGATATTGCATGTGTGTCTCAGTTACCCCATCACACCCACAACGAGTCGTGCACAAGCTGCGAGCATTTACAAGACTCGCCTTTCTTGTTTGGTGCGTAATCGGTGCCATAGCAAGCAGAGTGATGCAGTGCGAGACATTGCTGACTCTGACTGACTGACTGACCAACTGACTGACCATCTGACCAAACGACTGACTGACCGACCGATTGACAGGGAGACTGACCCCAGTTGACGTTGAGAATGAAGTGGAAGAGCGCGTGGGGCTGTGACACCGTGCCCACGTCCACTGCTGTGCTGCGCCCTGCATGCACCACGCGCATCATCATCCCATGGTGGTGCCATGCGGTGTGACGCGGTGCGGTGCAGTGCAGTGTGGTGCAGTGTGGTGCAGTGTGGCGTGGCGTGGTGTGGGAAGGGATGTCATAGTGAGAGGAAGGTTATAGAGAGACATGTTGAAAAGAGATGGACGAAGCGGGACAAGCACCAAGAAAGCAGAGGGGAAACGGGAAGAGTGAGAGGGAGCAGAAAAAAGGAGAGGGGAACAAAGAGGGGGCTCAGCTAAAGCACCAAGAAAGCACGATATTCGGACGATGGGAAACGTATTGCAATGACGATCTGCACTGTTTCATGCTATTAAGGGTCAGCTCTTACCGAGGATAACGGCTCGTGTGGCGTTCTGTGGTGTGCACTCCTCCCCTGACGCGTGTAGCAGCGACTTGGCCATGCCATTACCCGAGCCTGATGGCACGTGGTAGGGGATGGGCAGGAGAGGAGAGGAGAGGAGAGGAGAGGAGAGGAGAGGAGAGGAGAGAAAGGAAGTGGGCCGGGGGGGGGGGGGGGGGGGGCGGAATGGGGACAGGAGAGGAGGGGGAGAAGCGGGGTGCAAAGGGGAAACGAGAGGGGTGACAGGGGTTGAGAGGGCGCAATCTTGCAATATTGCAAGCAATGCTCTCTTTCACTTCCATACTCTTGTAACATTCAGTCAATGCAATGCAACGAGGCAGTTCAAGACGCAACAGATGCCTCCCACGAGTAGCCGAGAGTGGTTCGCATTGCAGCAGCAGGAGTTTACCTGCTGGAATCACACCTAAAGGCGTCCTGATGGCTTCCTTCCAATCTGACCGCGCTAGCAGCCCATTCAGCACCTGTATTGTGTAACCCAGACATGCGTGGGATGGGTGGGATGGGCGGGATGGGATGGGATGGGATGGGATGGGATAGGATGGGATGGGAGGGGATGGGATGTGGTGTGATGAGATGGATGGGAGACGCAGCTAGTCAGCTTCAGTCAGAGATTCAGTGAACAAGCTGAGCAGCTACAGGAATGCCATTGCTGCCAATGCATCCCCCCTCCCTCCCCCCTCCCTCCCACTCCCCCTCACAAGTGTTTTGAGTCGATTCAAAACCACACCACGTTTCCTCGATACACAACAACCCTCCTCCCCAGCCAACCCCCCGCTCACCTCAGCGGGAATGCCATCACCGCCAACGCAAACGACCCCATCGTACTCCCCCACGCGCATGTCCTTGGCAATGTCAACCGCGTGCCGATACCGCTGCGTCTCTGCCATGCCCGTGGGAAGGCGCACGGACTTTGGTGAGTAGATGCAAGAAGAGGTATCGTGGCGAGCCTGCCATGCTGATGGAAATTGAGGTGGTGAGGTGGGCGCTCTTTCAGAATTCTCAGTGAAACGCCCTGCAGCTCCTGAGAGTGTGGGAAGTTACACTGACGAGGTGAGGAAAGGTGAGGTGGTGAGGTGGGCGTTTTCTGAGAATTTCCTCACCACATTCTCAAAATACGAAGTTACACAGCAACGACAATGCAGTTTCCTGCATTGTTGTTTTCCCAACAATGCAGTTCATTCACAGCGACTACATCACCAATCCCGCTGCTGACGTCACCGGCCGTACCAATAAGCTCGTACTTGACGTCAGCGGCCTTGAGAAGCGGCTCCACGTCCCGCTTGTAGATGTCCCGCGCCATGCCCTTGCCGCCCACGGGGTTCAGCACCACTAGCAGCGACGACGGCCGGCCTGTGCGGGGAAAGGGGAAGGAGGGGGTAGAAGGGGGAGAGAGAGGGAGAAGGGGGAGAGAGGCGGCGGAGAGGGAAGGGAGAAGGGAGGGAGAGGGGAGGAGGAGAGAGGAGCGCACTTTTGTGGATGACCCGCGCGATGCCCTTGCCGCCCACGGGGTTCAGCACCACCAGCAGCGCCGACGGCCAGCCTGTGCGGAAAGGGGGATGTGGGGGAGAAAAGGGAGAGGGGAGAGAGAGGGGAGCGAGAGGGGAGAAGGGGGGACGTGTGGAGACGGCAGAAGGGGGAATGGGGGCGAGGGTAAGAGAGACGAGGGTAGACTGAAGAATATTGCCTCTCATCGTCACTCCTTACGCTCACTCCGCTCCCCCTCCGCCTCCCCCCCAATACTCCCCCGCACCGACCATTCGTTCGCCTCCACCGCTCCAGCTCATGCTCCTGCTTCGAGGAGCCTCAAAGACATCTTCTGTGGCGCTTCAAAATCCCACATCTTTATCTTTTGAAGACATCTTCAAAACCCACGCCGCACCCCACATTCTTCCCCACCACCCCACCCACCATCCGTGCGCCGCCACCGCGGCAGCTCCTCGCCCAGCCGCTCGTGCTCCTCAAAGCACAGCATTTGTGGCGCTTCGAAATCCACCCACCCCACGCTCCCCCCCAACCCGCTCACCATTCGTGCGCCGCCACCGTTGCAGCTCCTCGCCCCACCGCTCGTGCTCCTGTTTCGAGGCGTCTCAAAACACGACTTTTAAGGTGCTTCAGAACCCACGCACCCCACATTCTTCCCCCCCACCCCACCCACCATTCGTCCGCCGCCACCGCTGTAGCTCCTCGCCCCACCGCTCGTGCTCCTCCGCGTTCTTAAACTCCACCAGCACGTCCTCCCTCTCGCGCCGCCGGCTGTGCGCGCGCGTCGTCGTGCACAGAGAGAGCGCCGCGACTCCCGTTCCCGTAGGATCCGTCGTCGGGAGTTTGAAGAGCCGGAGAGTGATCGTCGAAGCGCCTGTCGTGCTGAATCCGATTAGATCTGAATCTAAAGATATGGATCCCGCTACCAGCTGCGATCCGACCGTTGCTCCTGCCACGTCAGCAGCGGTTTTCGGCGTCCAGGTGATGACGGACTCCTCGGACGCGGGCGCGCCGGCACCTGCGGCGGGAGATGCGGCGGATTCGGCAGGCGGAACGCGGAGCCATGCCTGCACGTGGTGTCCGTTTAGGATAATGTCGGCCGGCAGGCCTCTGGAAGGCGGCGCCGCCATGGAAACTGCGCACTGACGGCGTCGATCGGTAACAGCTTGACGGAGACGGATGCTACGACTTCTGGCCTGGTGCTGGCTGACTGTGACTGACGGAGAAAATGCCCCAGGCAAACCGTGAAGTGATCTGCGAATCAAGCCGTGTGGGACGAATGGTGTGGTGTGTCGCGTGCGGTGCTCGGGTTGGGCCTGCAAAGTTTTGGCGGGAAACTCGAATCTGGATTCTGGGCCTTGGAATCCCTGCTTGGTACTGTACAGATTGCATCAATCGGACGCAACGCAACGCAAGTTTCGCAGCGCCCACCGCCCCTGCTTTCAGGGCAGCTTGGGTGTGCTTCGAGAGTGGGCGCCCGCTACTAGCGATGTAGTGAGTCCAGCCAGCTACACTCGAAATAAAAGTAGTGCTGTGCATATATGGAGCACAGGATATTATCTGAACTATAACACACACGAGATTTCAACTTTGTGGTTAACTAAGTAGCTTCTTCCTAACAGAATAAATCGCCTGTTTACTTATGGCCGCGTCCACCACACTTGGGGCAAAGAATAGTGCCGGAACCACCACAGCCTGGGACAAATTTTGGAGGGACAAAAAGTCATGGATCAGTAAGAGCATATTGTCGGCAAGAAACAAAAAAATAAATGGACAAATGGCCTTGCAAGGGAGTAATAAGATAGCAAGAGGGCTATGGGACAATGGGAAAGGTGCAAAGAAGCAGAAATATTTTCAGGGTAAGCGAAATGAAGAAAGAAAGCATGATGAAAGGAAAAGACATCATGAAATAATTGAGGTAGGTTGGGGAAGCTAGAACACGAAATCAGTGGCAAGACGAGTACAGTGGGGACGAAGCAGAGGGGTTGAGAGGTGGTTGAGGGAGTGTGGGGGTTCGGAGACGAGGGGAGAGGGGGTGACGGATTCCTTATTCACATGAGAAAAGAGGAAGTGTAGCACACAAGTTCACACACGCATCATGCATGCACCAATTTCATTGTACCTTTCCATTATATCATATCAACACAACTTCATCCAAAATAAATTGGTGCCCCCTTCATTCCCCTCACCAGCTCTTCCCCTTGACCACCCCCCGTCCGCTCCCCTCCCCCGCTCCACTCCCCTCTCCCGAGCACTTACCGAGGCAGCGCACTTTAACGATGATCCCTTGGCACTCCATAATAGGATCCACATACAGCCCCGACGCCGCGCACGTCGCGCAAGGCACCGATCCCGCCGCCTCGCATCCGCCGCACTCCTCCTGCCCCGCCACCAGCCTCACCCGCTCCAGCACCACCGGCGCCGCCGCCGCCGCCGCCGCATCCCGCGAAGCCTCGGCAGCGGCCTCGTCAGCCTTATGCATCGCGATTGCGCGGGATCGCTCCATGGCGCTGCGGTAGCGCGAGGGGAGGTCCGCGATGGCGGACGAGTGCGACTGGGGGGGGATTCAAACGGTACAGTTGTGGGGTGGAGGGTTCGCGCGGGGAAGGGGGATGTGGGGAGAGGGAGGTCGGAAGGTGAGGGGTGCTGGGTTGGGAATGGGTTGACGAGAGCAGGAAGAGAAGGGGAAAGTGCAGGGGAGGGTGGAGGGGAGGGTAATCGGGGAGGAGGTGAGGGGGATGGGGACTTGGGGGGATATAGAGCATCTAGCCCGGAAATTCATGGAAACGGTAGACGTGCGACGAGAAGCGGAAACTTAATTGCGAATGTAAAGAACGGCCACAATTGTGACGATTTGCACGAGAGACGAAAGCGCAACGCAAAGACACTCCGTACCGCGCCATTAACGACCGTGGCCGCGCTGCGACCATCGTCCGCAGCGCTGCATCGCACGCACACGCACGCACTGGCAGCGCTGCGCGTGCTGCACGCGAATTGGCTCTTTAGTACGTTGCTAGACGAGGCGGAGCTGCTGCTGTCCAGAACCCGCAATTGCTTGGAAACAACATCGGAAGTTAGAGACAGGGAAGAAGCCATAATTGCGAATTGGGACTAGAGCGTGATGCAGACACACGCCTAAGAATCGAAGGGACCTATGGACTTCCCTAATTCTGAGCGCTAGATAACACAGGCTTGGAGAAGAGTTTCGGTAGGATGAACGAGAGCGAAGAAACAGAAAAGCTGCAGTTGATTTCGACACTAGAGGGGGGGAGAGTGCTCTTGCAATCGCGGCGCGATCTGTGTATGGCAGGAGGTGGGGTTGAGAGTTTTTGTGGGGGGGAGGAGCAGCCTGTTTTGCAGTTTTGACTAGAGTGAGTGTGTGAGTGAGTGTAGAGTGTGAGTGGTAGGGAATTGGGGATGGGGAAGCATGAACAGACCCAACTATTTGGACGCGCGATGCATTCACATCGGGATCGACGTGGCGATCCACGTGGCAGGAGATGACCCTTCGACGAGGTGTCATGTCACTGCAAACGCGACCACTATATACCCGCTATATATGATTTCTCGTTTTGGTACAACTTACGGAAAATGATATATTTTTTGGCACACTACACAAAAATTTCCATCTTTAATGAAGTTAGACTAGAAGAGCGGCATTCCCTCAGTACTATGTGTTAGGCTTACCATAACATCACATCAGTATGGATCAGTTTAAAAACCTTGCCTGATGTTAACCATGCTCCTTGCAAACAGTATTCAGGCGAGACCAAGTATGAGTATGGCCTTGTGAATGACAGGCCAAAATAAGCTGTTGGCACAATGCCTTTCTCTTTGGTGTAGGCATGTGCAGTATAGATGTTCGCCAAACTTGTTGCTGCTGAATTTGGAGGCCGCATCACTCCAGCCATCCCAAATAACACAGAGGATTCCCATTGCTCCGCTCCAAGGGTATTCATGCCACACCTGCGCCCTCCTCTAGTGACTCCTGCGGCTCACTCTTTCCCCTCTTGAGCGGAGGCGGGGGAGAATCCACCTCTCCCAGGATAAAGACTTCTGCATCATTATCCGCTTCCCGCTTCCTCTTTCCAACCATGACTCCCTGTTTCCTGAGAGCCTCCACCACTGGTACCAACCTACAAACCAGCTGATTCAGCAACATTTTAACCAGCAACATTCTGTTCTTCAGAAGCTCGCACGAGCCAGCGTTCCGACCAAAAGCACCGCGTGCAATCACGTCATGACTCGTTGATTCAGAGACACAGCAGCTCCGCTCGCGGCTGCTATCCGTATCCTCCTCTTCGTGAGCTTCCTTACGCCCACCTGCCACGCCAGACTCCTGGTCAGATACTGCAGGAGCAGCAACCCGCCGGGAGAGCTTGCGCTCATCCCACCTGCGCATGATTTCCACCGTTCGTGCCCGCCAGTGTTCTCGCCACGCTGACTCGCACAGCAGCCGGCCTTCGGCGCCGAACTTGTGCGTGCAGCGGGAGCAGCGGCACGCGAACCGGTTCTTCAGATTGGGGGCCGCGGCAGAAGTAGAGCACTTGGCATTGGTGGAATCGGGGAGAGTGGAGCCGATGCGGGACTCCGCAAGCTGCGCTCCGTGCTGTTGTTGCTGCTGCTGCTGCTGCTGCTACTTCTGCTGCTGCTGCTGCTGCTGCAGCTGCTCTGCTACTCGCCTTTGCCCCTCTCTCCTGTCATCGAGCTGTAGAGCCTTGAGGTATTGCTGCTCCCGGCTGTGCTGCTGCTGCACAGCGCGAGGCAGCACCGTTGAGCGCCGCCCGCAGCGATGGAAGCAGCAGCAGCTCGCCATACCCGTCATTGCTCGAGTCTGCGTCACTACCAGTGCTGCTGAATCGTAAACTGGCGCCGCGACGACGTTTCTCGTCTGAGACTTGCACATGGGACCGTCTCGGCAAAAAGATTAAATCAGTTGGCGCTACGAAGTCACCAACACACGTAACCTGGCAGCGGCGCAGAATTGAACTTAAGGAGGACTTTGGAGGACGCGTGGGGGGGAGAGGGCGGGGGGGGGGGAGAGGGGGGAGGAGAAGCCGGGGCTAAGGGCCTAGTCTGCCTAAGGGCGCACAAGCGGCAGAAGCGGAGGAGCGCAGAAGCGGCGAAACTAGCCCAGAAAACCTCCGTGAAAGCTACGAGCTCTGTGGATGGGTGTCGGAACAAAGCACACCCTGCAGCGTAGAGGAGGTTCGAGATTTATGAGAGAAATACGGGTGGTTTGTCGAGGATCATGGTGGCATCTGCGCCGCGGCTTTTCTATGATGGGCACACTCCAGTCGTGGGTGCGATCCGTTCTCGCTGAATCGCGCACCGCCGTGGCCGCAAAATGGGGCTCCCATTCCCATGATGCACATGGCGCCGCCACTCCCATTCTCTGGATCCGGCCAGAGCCGATAAGCGCCGAGTGCGCTTTTTTTATTTATTTTTATGACTGTTTTTGTTTTTTCTATGGTGATGCAATGAGGGCTCGGATGCGCTGTGCAGCTGTGTCATGTGGATGCTAGGACTAAGCCGTTAGCGTGGCAGTGGAATGTCGACGGGTAACCTATCTTCTCGCAGAAAACGACAGAAAAAGCTTGGCTGTATTCGTAGCTTGCACCTGAAAGTCGCGCGCCCCACTACGCCGCGAGTACGAGGTGCACGTAACTGGAGGTAAATGGAGGGCTGTTAGGGGGTGGATCGAGCTTAGCAGCGCGGCAGGAGGATTAGACCAGGAGAAAGGGTGTGCTCTGCGGTGCCAGCGACAGCGGGCGGACGTGTCGCGTGGCACGATTCGGCGTGGGACCAAGGTGTCTGTCGCTTACGGCAAGATGAGATGCGCAAGCGCGTGGTAGGATGCGATGAGTAATAGGGCGGAGCGAGGTTACAGTACAAGGAAAGCATTTGCATCGCTACTTGGTGGTGCGATGTACGGCAGTGGCGGTGGTGGCAGCGAAACATGCGACCAATGTGGCGAGGCGACGAGCGGGGTGTCCCAGTGACGACCAACATCGAGAAAATGGTACGAGCGGAGCAGATCGGTTGCGGCGTTGACAGTGGAAAGCCGAGAAACGGAAGGCCGCACTACCGCACTGGAGGAGGATGAAAAGTGGAAGCGTTGCTTTTTGGGTTGGTTGGGAGGCGCAAGGTGGTTTGGCGGTAGAGCAAGGCCAGGAGGAATTGGGCCAGATATTCCAGTTCGGTTAGATTGGATGGACTGGAGGCACGATGTTGCTGAAAGTACATGAGATTCGGCGAGCACTTCCACCGAATCACAACGAGCGCAATCCACCGCCTGAACCCCGCGAAAGAATGTCTTTCCTTCTGACAGGGAGATATAGTGTCTATGGAGTTACCTGTACAGTGCATATCCCAGCTTGACGGGGTAATGTGGCTTATAATGCCTGCCCGTAAATTTATCTGTTCATTTCGAGAATGTCATTTCTGTCAGGTGACCGCACGAAATGCGCCGTAAAACACGATGGACAATGTACACGTCAAGCACCGTTCACGACGAATGAACTCGCTAAAAAGGTCGGACGCTAACACGATGGAAAAATATATAGATAGTACGCAAGACTCGCCTATATATAATGATGTACATAGTAGAATATGTATAAATAACATGTAATACAAGTCAATACTTCTGTAAGGATAAATTCAATCTGGCATGAAACTCGATTTAGCGGGGGTGCTATTGCCACATGGATTTTCATATATGAACTTGGAAGACTTACCATTAGTGACGTGAGCGAGTTGCGGTGTTTGAGCCAACAGATGCGATTCCATGTCCCAAAATACAGATGGAGTATGAACCCCCACCATCCCAATATGGGATTCCACTGGGAGCCTTTCACCTCTCCAATCCAGCACCGTTGCACGATTTATAATACTGGAAGCTGTGGCGGGACGAGCCAAACCGCCAGACATAGGAGACGTTGCTACATTCATGTCTGTGTCAGCTTCTGTTGTTTGTGTTTGTGGAAAAGAAGCCGCTGCCGGCACTGATCCTGGCGCTATTGCTGTTGCAAGCCTGCTATGAGGCCGCGATCCCAACTGCCAAAAGTGTGAGAACGTCAGCGCACTCCCACCCCTCTCCTCAGAAGGAGACACAGGGAGAGATGCCAGATAACCCATCCCGCACGCCCTCTGTGGTTCTGCTGCTGCTGCTGCTGCTGCTGCTGCTGGGGCTGCTGCTGCTGGGAGTGCTGGTGAGTCAAACTGCTGTTGGGAGGCACCTGAACCTGCACCAGCAGCAGCAGAGGTGGCGGGGGCAGATAAATGACCCGAGAGTTCACAACATTGGAGCTGTGCAGGGAGGTTTGGCATGGGGAGCAGCGCAGGCGATGACGCGGCAAGCTGAGGGGGTGGTAGGTGATGGAGCATGATGTCTGGCAGGGATCCAGGGCCGCGCACCAGCCCGGACAGAGGCTGGTGGCGCTGCAGCGGTGGCAGGGACTGCTGCCGACCCAGTGCATCCAGACTCATCCTCTTCTGCTGCTGGTGCTGCTGCTGGTGCTGCTGCTGCTGCTGCTGCTGCTGCTGCTGCTGCTGCTGCTGCTGCTGCTGCTGCTGCTGCTGCTGCTGCTGCTGCTGCTGCTGCTGCTGCTGCTGTCCTTGCATATTTGGCACGACTTGCTCCTGTTGCGGCTGCAGGGTGTGTGGGAGCATGGCAGCCTGCTCCTGAAGCAACGGCTGCCAGTGGCTGTCAAGAAAGGCTTCTACCGGCCCTGAAAACACACAAGCTGCTCCTCTCACTCTTGTACCTCCTGCTGCACCTCCTCCTCCTCCTCCTCCTCCTCCTCCTCCTCCTCCTCCTCCTCCTCCTCCTCCTCCTCCTCCTCCTCCTCCTCCTCCTCCTCCTCCTCCTCCTCCTCCTCCTCCTCCTCCTCCTCCTCCTCCTCCTCCTGCTACCGATGGTGGATCTGGAACATGTGCGGGCCACGCTCCTTTATCCCTGCCCGGACTGCCCTCTCTGCGCCCACCCCATGCGCGGCGCACATTGCTTGGCCAGGCAGTAGCAGCAACGACCACGCTGTGGCCTGTGCCGCCCTGTGCTGCCAGCACCACCTGCTGCAGCTCGTCACCACCACTTTGAACCGCTTTTCCAGGTTGACCGAGTTGACCGAGTTGACCGAGTTGACCGAGTTGACCGGGTTGACTGAGTTGACCGAGTTGACCGAGTTGACCGGGTTGACTGAGTTGACCGAGTTGACCGGGTTGACTGAGTTGACCGAGTTGACCGGGTTGACCAGCATGGTTAATATGTGTGGCGTGAGCGCCATCCAGCCACATATCCATGGCCTCTGCCATCCAGCTATCCCCATTAGATGGGCTGCTGTACCCACATCCGCTCATGGGGCCACCACTGCCAACACCCCCACCGCTCGGACCATCTGTATCCCCAGCGCACAGCCTAACCGCCCTCTGCATTCCATCAGAGTCCATCATCTCCCCATCCTCCTCTCCCACCACATCATTCCCCATACCATCCCCCATACCATCCCCCATACCATCCCCCATACCATCCCCCATACCATCCCCCATCTCATCGCCCATATCCCCCATGGCATTAGCTGCTCCGCCCCCCTGCCCATGCCTATGCGCATGGTGCTGCTGCTGTGCATTGGCGGCCTCTGCAGGCCTGCTCCTCGCATCCAAACCAGTCGGGGAGATGAACACCAGTGCAGACTTTTGAGACTTCTCAAAAGTCGTCTTCTGCTGTGCATTGGCGGCCTCTGCAGGTGTGCTCCTCGCATCCAAACTAGTGGGGGGGGTGAACACCAGTGCAGGCGCGCCCTTGCTGCTTCTCCCACAGGCCAGTTCAGTCGATTGACGGCAATGGCTCTGGTGCTGCTGCTGCTGCTGCTGCTGCTGCCGCCATTGTTCCTGGATCTGCTGTGGCGGCTGCGGTACGGAGAAGGAGGGAGAAGGTGAATGCAGCAGCGATGCAAGCGGCGAGTGCACGCCCCACACAATCGTAGCAGCTGAGGCTCCTACAGCAGGTTTACAAGCCCCTCCTCCTCCTCCTCCTCCTCCTCCTCCTCCTCCTCCTCCTCCTCCTCCTCCTCCTCCTCCTCCTCCTCCTCCTCCTCCTCCTCCTCCTCCTCCTCCTCCTCCTCCTCCTCCTCTTCCTCGTCTTCCTCCTCTTCTGCCTGCCTCTCCGCCCTCACCACCACCAGCAGCACCACCACCAGCAGCACCACCACCAGCAGCACCGGCACCGGCACCGTCACCAGCATCTCTGGCAGCATCCAATGGAATGCCCGAGGGAACTTGGAGCACCTTTTGCCCAACCTGCCGCTGGCTCGTTGGCAGACGCGCGTCTCTCAAATCCACTGCCATTGCGCACCCCACCACCGCCTCGCCTACCCTCGCATTTCCCAGCAACTGCCTCCTTACATGCTCTCCTGTGACCACCCCTTGCATCTCCTCTTCACTACTGTTCCCCAGCAGCAGCTGCTGCCACTCACCCCGTACAAGCGGTCCCCGGTGCGGGTAGGTGGATCCACCGACGGCCATCATTCCGTCGTCAAGGCTACTACTGGTGGAGGCATGCCATAGCATGGCTTCTGTTGCGTGCTGCGGTTGGGCCGTGGTCTCGGTCTTGCTGGTACTTGGGTTGCTCTGGAGCACTCTTGAATGCCGCTGCTGCTGCTGCTGCTGCTGCTGCTGCTGCTGCTGCTGCTGCTGCTGCTGCTGCTGCCGGTGCTGCTGCTGCTGCCGCTGCTGCTGCTGCTGCCGGTGCTGCTGCTGCTGCTGCTGCTGCTGCTGCTGCTGCTGCTGCTGAAGTGGGAAGGTACCATAAGTGTTGCATGGCAATGGGATGTGCTGAGTACCCAGGACATGAACACTTGCCGTTAACACTCCTCCCTTCATCTCAGAAGGAGCAGCAGCCATAGTGATGGGGGGAGGTGAGGGTGTAGGAGGAGGAGGAGGCGTGTGAGAGGGACGGGAAGGAGAAGTGAAAGGAGGAGAAAGAAGGGGAGGAGAAGGAAGAGGAGGAGAAGGAAGGGGAGGAGAAGGAAGAGGAGGAGAAGGAAGGGGAGGAGAAGGAAGAGGTGGAGAAGGAAGGGCGGGAGAAGGAAGCGGGAGAGAAGGAGGAGGAGGAGAAGGAAGAGGAGCCTGGGAGACGTTGCGAAACATTGTAGAAGCAGCCACTGGCAGTGGCGCCAAGTGCTCAGGAGTTCTCGAGCTGAGAGCAGAGGAAGTGCAAGGCAGAACCCCATGAGGGTGGGGAGCTGGGGACGACGAGGGCAGAATCCTGGGAGCAATGGCGAGGTTGCGAGAGGTTGAGGAGCCGAGAGCGGAAGAGAAGATGCTGGTTCTGTTGCGGCGCTTCTGCCTTGTGTTCCAGAAGTTTTTTATCTCGTTGTCCGTGCGCCCTGGTAGCTGCACAGGACAGTGATGACGGAAGGTGATGGAGGATGGTGGAAACGCAGTGGGGCGAAGGAAGGTGAGGGTGATTCTCTCTCCTTTTCATAGACAGACACAGGCACAGACACTGACACAGACACATGCACACGCATGCGCGCGCGCGCGCGCACACACACACACACACACACACACACCCCCTCCCCTGGGACACAAGAATGCAGGCGATGCAACAAGTTAGCCCATGATGGGCCAATTGCATCGATCACATCATATCATATCATAGCACGCTCATCCTCCCACCCACTCTTACTACTAGTACTAGTCCATCCCAGCACGTACATGCGAGGCGATGCGTGCCCACTTGTTGCCGTACTGCTGCTGCAGGCGCACAATGGTGCGCTCCTCCTCTGCTGTGATGCCGCCCTTTTTGAGGTTCGGCCGCAGCTGGTTCGCCCACCGCAGCCGGCAGCTCTTGCCACAGCGCGCCAAGCCCGTGTGCTGCTGCACCAGGTTCCAGTTTCCCTCTCCGTACTGCCAGGAGGGAATGGGGGAGGGGGCCGTGGGGGGGGACTTGGTGACTTTTGAGTCGACTCAAAAGGCAGCTCTTGCCACAGCGCGCCAAGCCCGTGTGCTGCTGCACCAGGTTTCAGTTACCCTCTCCGTACTGCCAGGAGGGAATAGGGGATGGGGGAAGTGGGGAGGAGAGCGACGGGGGATTGGGAAGGCGAGGACAGCACTAGGTCACCGCCTAGTAGAGGAGTGCCTGGGTGAAGATGGGTGGAGAAGTTGGGGGGGGGTTTTGAGGAATTTAAGGTGGAAAGACTACATCTCGGACGCCCTTTGGGGTCATCCCAGCGGATGCAAGGGTTGGGAGAAGGAAGGTGACAAGGGGATACAATCTGAAGCGCGGCCACCAGCGTTTCTCAACAAGAACACTCCAAATTTGAAATTTGGACTCCCACTGCCAGTGGGAGTTAGATCATATCCGATATGATCATGGCCATTTAATTTTGAAGAGCAGGCATGGCGGCGCACCTGTCTGACGTGCTGCCACAAGAGCTCGTCTTCCGCAGCCGTCCACGGCCCCTTGCGCAACCCGTCGCTGCCTACCACCGCCGCCATTCCCGGCGGCGCCGGCGCGCCGTCCCTCATCCCAAAAAAATTGGTCGCAAAAAGATGCCACAAGGTCTCCTCAGGGATACCTCCCTGTAGGTAACCCAAAGGATTCAGGTTAGGTTACCTATAGGTTTCCACACCGAGCGATCAGGTTCGAGGTGACCCCGAGGTTACCCCAGAGGTGACCCACAGGAGTCCGCAACGACGCCCCACGGTAACCGCAAGCCAACAACTGCGTCCAATCGCGTGCGAGCCGCAGCGTCGCTACGTGATGCCCGACAACAATCGAAGACAAAACCCCTGAACACTCTCAAACAGCATTTGCTTATTAAAACCGAAAACAAACCATTGTCGTTGCGATTCTGGCTGTCTCGCTAAGGGAGTTAGGCATCCCTATGCACAAACGTTAAATACACATGTCGTGACCCGTTATTGTTAACTTCGACAACCTGATTGGTCGCGCAGAGTGTACACAATCGCTCTAATACCTAAATATCTCGCTACAGGCTGATACGATTAAAGCTCTAAAAACCGGTATACAACATGTCGGACCGCGTTACTGTATTTAGGGTTAAGCTCTTATTATATGTCGGAAAAAATTGGCCAAATTAAAGTCACTGTATATAACATACGTATACAGCACCAGCCAGTTTCATAATCCTGGCTGGACCCAACCTCCCTGGGAATTTCTGGAATTCTTCCATTGAACAATAACATAAAACTCAGCGCTAGGGGTTGCTCCTTATATAGTGAGTGCATTAGTATGAAGAATCTACACAGGCCTTGAGTTCTATACGGACGATATGGTGCAAGGCATTTGACAAGGGGCGTGCGCCTCGTGAGCACCCCTGCAAAAACGCCTAGGCAACAATGTGTATCGATGTGGCCAGCGCTGGTAAATCCCCGCTGTCGAAAAGCCAAAGCAAAGCCACCTAGAGAGACAGCAACGGAGAGAATGTTGTTAACGCGATAGCACGCAAAAATATCGGGAAAGCTGTAGAGCGCGTACCCGCCAGCATATCGGAAACGCGACTTTCAACCACGCTATGCGCGGAATCGCTCCGTTCTTTGTCCTGCAGAGAGGTGACATGCCGTGCTTCCGTCTGCAGCACGGAGACGTGCACTGTGGTCCGCCGTAACCAAGCGCAAATACCGTCGTATTACTGCGGGCAACACAGGCTGCTGCGCTTCAGCCACATATCGGGGAAACACAAATAGCCAGGCTGGGTGTCAAAAAGGTCTCAACGTTACACGTACGCCGGGCAGGGCGTAAGACGACTTGAATAGGCGTTTCATACCCGGGGGGTTGGTGCTTTCGAAGGCGTATGGGTTGCGCCGCGGCCTCGGCCCAAGACGTAAGCTGTAAGATCGTCCCTGGAAAAAACGGTTAATGATTGAGCGGCCTTGACGCCCGACCATGTCATGGCGCCAGGGTCTTATTCGTGTAAACCGAGAACCATACAGCTCTTGAATGACAACGAGGATCACAAAACCGTCAACCACGCAGAGGATAGGACCTGAACGTACACAGCGAGAATACACAAACGAATCAGCCTGACGAGGTAACCTTAAGCTGGTCCCGGCAACGCAGTACCAGCTACACCACACATGTCATAACCGAACGTGAATGAAGAGCACAGACGTGATGAGCGACTCACATCAAGGTCTTCGGGCGAATCCACCCACGGCGCCGTGACTCATAGCTCAAGCTCTGCTCGGCCAGCATCACCGCGAACGAGAGCCCGATCCGTACTGATCTGAGGGGGGTTCACACGGTCACGTCATTCGCGTACGTGAAAATCTCCCCGTGAAAACGGAAACACGTCTACACGGTCGAGACGATAACGGATATGGGAAGGAAAGCGCTGCTTGACAATTCTACATGAGTTGTCGACGCATACCTTAAAGGTGACCCGATATACCATGCGTGGCGGGTATGCGGGTGACGGCATAGAAGACCACAATGTCGAGCGACAGCTGGCGGAATAGCAATAGCTTGCGGCGAGCAAAACTAGAAAACTAAAAACTAGTAACTCACAAGTGCTGGGTTCGGCCTTACATAGCCGAACAAACAGTGTGCGCAGCCCAGCACAGAGGAAGGGGGTGGTGGGTGGTGGTGGTGCACAAACCCATCGGAATTGGTTGGCGGATGTTCCGCAGCCACGTAATCCAACCCATCACAAAGATGCGAGTAGCGTTATTAACTTTACGCAACGAAACGCCACAACCATTAAGCATACACTATCAGCATAACAGCTTCAGATGCCTAACCTTTCATAACGTTGCCATAAAACAAAATATGGTGAGTCTCAAGCTTCCCTTGCAAAAAGAGGCTTCGGTTAACCCTAGAAATCAAGCACGTGGTACAGGGTTCACAAAAAAGGAGACCAGCACGTCTACGTGCACAGTTGAAACGACCTTCGTTATCCATAAGCCACCGACAAAAGCTACCGTACAAACGTATGCGAATGAGTGATCCATCAAGGAACCGGCGCAGGCACGGGGCCTCCCAAACGGTCTATTCCCTCGGTGTCCTCGATCCCGTCAGTCGAGATCAGGATCTTTTTACTGCGAGAGAATGCCCACGCCTTCTCGGTTGCGTTGTACCACGGGCCACTGCCATTAACAGCGGGAGCCATGATGGCAGCCTTGCACCATGCTGTGACCTTCCTGAGGTACTCCGCAGTCAGCCTTCCGTTGATGGCGGCACTGTGCTCCAGGTCCTTGCCCTTGTTGACAATGCGGTGCTCCAACTGCGCAGAAGGTTTAGGGTGGATAGGTATGGGGGATTGATGCCTGGCAACCGCACTAATGCCAACTACAACCACCCATGATTTACTAAGGCGAGACGTGCTGGGCCTCGCTTAAAAGTCAGGGGTGCAGCATGTATGTGCTATCCAACTGTCCTCTTACCCCCATCAGAAAATATGCAATATGGTAAAGCTTCACGACCACGGGCTCCGGCTTGCCCTTGAAGAGAGACATAGCGATCCCCGACTCGAATGCAGGGTGTGCAAACGGCAAGCCGCCGGCCTCTGGGGCGCGGATCCACGTGTGGAGGTCAAAGCTCTCCGCACCTGCAACAAAGCGACAGGTGGGATATTAGAATAGTCTAGTTGGCGCAAGGGAAAGCCCCTGGATATCTTGAACTCACCTTTGGGGTACTGTTTCAGGAAATCCTCGAATTCAGTGGCCTCGCCTTGGACCGGAGGCACTTGAGCGCGTGAGGATCGGGGGAGGGTAAAAGGTAGACCAAACCATATGAAGATCCAGGCCCGTGCCTGGTCCATCATGCCCGCGCGCACCTTCGCCATCTTCGAGCTCAGAAACCCGCTCCGCTGAGTATCATTCGCCAGCACAATGTGAACTCGAATCCTTGTTTCTTCGTCGCACATCCTCATGCACTCAACGAATGCCGCCTCGATGTACTCCTCTGCTGGCCACATGCTCATCCGGCGCGATGCAGTGTTGTAAAATAGCTTGATGATGACATCACATACCAGCGTCTGTGAGAAACCATGGATGGGTTGGAGGCAGGGTACGGAGAAAAGATTGATCCAACAGGAATAATGCCAGTGCGTCGGGAGAGGGTGGAGGGTGGTTCTGCCCTGCAGAAGTAGAGGGAGAGGGGAGAGTGTGATTCGGCCTTGCATGAATGGCTGCCGAGAAGAGGGAGAGATTCTTCTCTGCAGGAGCAGAGGGAGAGGGTGGGGTGTGATTCTGAGTAGCAGGACTAGAGAGAGATGGTGGTGTATGGTTCTGCCCTGCATGAGTGGAGGGAGAGGGGAGGGTGAGATTCTGCCCTATAGGAGCAGAGGGAGAGGGGAGACTGTGATTTTGAGTAGCAGGAGTAGAGGGAGAGGGTGGTGTGCGGTTCTGCCCTGCCGGAGTTGAGGGGGAGGGGAGGGTTAGCTTGTGCCCTGCAGGAGTTGAGGGATAGGGGAGATTGTGATTCCGAGCAGCATGAGTAGTGGGGGGGTGTGTGATACTGCAATGCACGAGTCAAATGCGAATGTGTATGTGTGATCTTGACCATACACCCATGCTGGGCAAAGGGGTCAGACCTGACCCATACACCCATGCTGGGCAAAGGGGTCAGACCTGACCCATACACCCATGCTGGGCAAAGGGGTCAGACCTGACCCATACACCCATGCTGGGCAAAGGGGTCAGACCTGACCCATACACCCATGCTGGGCAATGGGGTCAGACCTGACCCATACACCCTTGCTGGGCAAAGGGGTCAGACCTGACCCATACACCCTTGCTGGGCAATGGGGTCAGACCTGACCCATGCACCCTTGCTGGGCAATGGGGTCAGACCTGACCCATACACCCTTGCTGGGCAAAGGGGTCAGACCTGACCCATACACCCTTGCTGGGCAAAGGGGTCAGACCTGACCCATGCACCCTTGCTGGGCAATGGGGTCAGACCTGACCCATACACCCTTGCTGGGCAAAGGGGTCAGACCTGACCCATACACCCTTGCTGGGCAAAGGGGTCAGACCTGACCCATGCACCCTTGCTGGGCAATGGGGTCAGACCTGACCCATACACCCATGCTGGGCAATGGGGTCAGACCTGACCCATACACCCATGCTGGGCAAAGGGGTCAGACCTGACCCATACACCCATGCTGGGCAAAGGGGTCAGACCTGACCCATACACCCATGCTGGGCAAAGGGGTCAGACCTGACCCATACACCCATGCTGGGCAAAGGGGTCAGACCTGACCCATACACCCATGCTGTGCAAAGGGGTCGGACCTGACCCATACACCCATGCTGGGCAAAGGGGTCAGACCTGACCCATACACCCATGCTGGGCAATGGGGTCAGACCTGACCCATACACCCATGCTGGGCAAAGGGGTCAGACCTGACCCATACACCCATGCTGGGCAAAGGGGTCAGACCTGACCCATACACCCATGCTGGGCAAAGGGGTCAGACCTGACCCATACACCCATGCTGGGCAAAGGGGTCAGACCTGACCCATACACCCATGCTGTGCAAAGGGGTCGGACCTGACCCATACACCCATGCTGGGCAAAGGGGTCAGACCTGACCCATACACCCATGCTGGGCAAAGGGGTCGGACCTGACCCATACACCCATGCTGGGCAAAGGGGTCAGACCTGACCCATACACCCATGCTGGGCAAAGGGGTCAGACCTGACCCATACACCCATGCTGGGCAAAGGGGTCAGACCTGACCCATACACCCATGCTGGGCAAAGGGGTCAGACCTGACCCATACACCCATGCTGTGCAAAGGGGTCGGACCTGACCCATACACCCATGCTGGGCAAAGGGGTCAGACCTGACCCATACACCCATGCTGGGCAAAGGGGTCAGACCTGACCCATACACCCATGCTGGGCAAAGGGGTCAGACCTGACCCATACACCCATGCTGGGCAAAGGGGTCAGACCTGACCCATACACCCATGCTGGGCAAAGGGGTCAGACCTGACCCATACACCCATGCTGGGCAAAGGGGTCAGACCTGACCCATACACCCATGCTGGGCAAAGGGGTCAGACCTGACCCATACACCCATGCTGGGCAATGGGGTCAGACCTGACCCATACACCCTTGCTGGGCAATGGGGTCAGACCTGACCCATACACCCTTGCTGGGCAATGGGGTCAGACCTGACCCATACACCCTTGCTGGGCAAAGGGGTCGGACCTGACCCATACACCCATGCTGTGCAAAGGGGTCGGACCTGACCCATACACCCATGCTGGGCAAAGGGGTCAGACCTGACCCATACACCCATGCTGGGCAAAGGGGTCAGACCTGACCCATACACCCATGCTGGGCAAAGGGGTCAGACCTGACCCATACACCCATGCTGGGCAAAGGGGTCAGACCTGACCCATACACCCATGCTGGGCAAAGGGGTCAGACCTGACCCATACACCCTTGCTGAGCAATGGGGTCAGACCTGACCCATACACCCTTGCTGGGCAAAGGGGTCAGACCTGACCCATACACCCATGCTGGGCAAAGGGGTCAGACCTGACCCATACACCCTTGCTGAGCAATGGGGTCAGACCTGACCCATACACCCTTGCTGGGCAAAGGGGTCAGACCTGACCCATACACCCATGCTGGGCAAAGGGGTCAGACCTGACCCATTCACCCTTGCTGGGCAATGGGGTCAGACCTGACCCATACACCCATGCTGGGCAAAGGGGTCAGACCTGACCCATACACCCATGCTGGGCAAAGGGGTCAGACCTGACCCATACACCCATGCTGGGCAAAGGGGTCAGACCTGACCCATACACCCATGCTGTGCAAAGGGGTCGGACCTGACCCATACACCCATGCTGGGCAAAGGGGTCAGACCTGACCCATACACCCATGCTGGGCAATGGGGTCAGACCTGACCCATACACCCATGCTGGGCAAAGGGGTCAGACCTGACCCATACACCCATGCTGGGCAAAGGGGTCAGACCTGACCCATACACCCATGCTGGGCAAAGGGGTCAGACCTGACCCATACACCCATGCTGGGCAAAGGGGTCAGACCTGACCCATACACCCATGCTGTGCAAAGGGGTCGGACCTGACCCATACACCCATGCTGGGCAAAGGGGTCAGACCTGACCCATACACCCATGCTGGGCAAAGGGGTCGGACCTGACCCATACACCCATGCTGGGCAAAGGGGTCAGACCTGACCCATACACCCATGCTGGGCAAAGGGGTCAGACCTGACCCATACACCCATGCTGGGCAAAGGGGTCAGACCTGACCCATACACCCATGCTGGGCAAAGGGGTCAGACCTGACCCATACACCCATGCTGTGCAAAGGGGTCGGACCTGACCCATACACCCATGCTGGGCAAAGGGGTCAGACCTGACCCATACACCCATGCTGGGCAAAGGGGTCAGACCTGACCCATACACCCATGCTGGGCAAAGGGGTCAGACCTGACCCATACACCCATGCTGGGCAAAGGGGTCAGACCTGACCCATACACCCATGCTGGGCAAAGGGGTCAGACCTGACCCATACACCCATGCTGGGCAAAGGGGTCAGACCTGACCCATACACCCATGCTGGGCAAAGGGGTCAGACCTGACCCATACACCCATGCTGGGCAATGGGGTCAGACCTGACCCATACACCCTTGCTGGGCAATGGGGTCAGACCTGACCCATACACCCTTGCTGGGCAATGGGGTCAGACCTGACCCATACACCCTTGCTGGGCAAAGGGGTCGGACCTGACCCATACACCCATGCTGTGCAAAGGGGTCGGACCTGACCCATACACCCATGCTGGGCAAAGGGGTCAGACCTGACCCATACACCCATGCTGGGCAAAGGGGTCAGACCTGACCCATACACCCATGCTGGGCAAAGGGGTCAGACCTGACCCATACACCCATGCTGGGCAAAGGGGTCAGACCTGACCCATACACCCATGCTGGGCAAAGGGGTCAGACCTGACCCATACACCCTTGCTGAGCAATGGGGTCAGACCTGACCCATACACCCTTGCTGGGCAAAGGGGTCAGACCTGACCCATACACCCATGCTGGGCAAAGGGGTCAGACCTGACCCATACACCCTTGCTGAGCAATGGGGTCAGACCTGACCCATACACCCTTGCTGGGCAAAGGGGTCAGACCTGACCCATACACCCATGCTGGGCAAAGGGGTCAGACCTGACCCATTCACCCTTGCTGGGCAATGGGGTCAGACCTGACCCATTCACCCTTGCTGGGCAATGGGGTCAGACCTGACCCATACACCCCTGTCCAGCATCAACGTTGGAAGAAGCGTGATTGCTTGTTCAGTGAGAACTATAAAACACCATCAACGGAATGCTGAATACAAAACGACAGACACTCACCTTGAACCCAGTGTCCATATCGGGCATTGCAGCCATGGCCTCAATGAGGCGGTGGGCCCATGACTGCTGGTTTGGGGTGAGGTCGTCCAATATTGTTGGTGAGGGACGAGCGCGGCACTGTGTAGCGATCGCCCGCACCATGGGAATGGTGAGAGGCCTGGGCTCCCGTCGTCGTGCCGGCGCCTTCCGCCTCTGGACCCTCGTGCGTCCGTCTTCTTCACCATTAGTCGGCGACTCAGGCAAGTGTGGGCTGGTCGACGGGGGCTCACGATCTTGTGCCATCATATGTGTATAAGCCTCCCCCTGTCGTCGCATGTGTTCGAGGTGAGCTTTCTCGCGCTCCAGCTGATCGATCCGAGCAAGCGCAGTAGGAAGGTCCTGAGGAATGGGCCGACGCGCCGAATTTTGCATGACATGGATTCACCTCAAACTCCCTTATGCCAATTGCAGGACAGCCCTTAAACCTCCCCCGTTCCTTCATGTTTTTGCTAGGTGGTGAATGAGAGGCTGTAAATATGCGCATTTAACTGCCTGTAAACCTGGTCATAACCTTGACGCCATAACACCCTACCCTACAGAGTTTGTTGAAGAACGGGGAGGTCATCTGCCCCATCATTCTGGCATCGGATGTCATGACACTTGCTGGACATGGGCGCATCAGAGTGTGGCCCGTGTATCTATCGGTTGCGAACATCCCCTACTCCCTTCGGTGGCGAGAGACCGGCCGGATTTTAATCGCCCTGCTTCCGATGCCCAACCCAAAGATGACATCCGT